TGCACAGGAGTGGCAGCATATTACCAGAACTCAAGAATTGCTCTGCTCTCCAAATGTCCCCCTGAAGCCTCCGTGTTCACTGGGGAATGCGTTGGCATTCTGGAGTCTATCAAATTTATTAAATCGCACAACCTCAGCAACTCAGTTATCTTCTCAGATTCTCGAAGCAGTCTACAAGCGCTCGGTCAAGATCAGCTTTATTCCCGGACGCATTGTAGTCTGATAGTGGAAATAAAATCTTTACTTTTATCCTGCCAAAGAGACGGACTAAATATTGAGATCGCATGGATTCCTGGCCACTCTGGTATATGCGGTAACGAGTGTGTTGACAGATTGGCAAAGTTTGCGGCCGTGAATAACGTTGAACGTCACCACTATATTGTGTATGGGTATGACATACGTGCCGATACTAAACTCAAGCTCTTCGACTCGTGGGCTACAGTGTGGGCGGACTCCTCTAAGCGGAAAGGAGCTTACTATGCTAGTATCCAGACCGATATCCAGCGGAAACCTTGGTTCTCCAAGCACAAGAAACTCCCCAAACACACTGTTTCGTCTTTGTGCAGACTCAGACTCGGCCACTGTACTAGCCCGGTATTCCTCGCCAAGATACGCGTACGTGACAGCTCGCTGTGCGAATGCGGTCTTGATGAGGGTACCCTAGACCATATATTTTTTTCATGCCCTCTTAATTCCCAGTCCTTTGACCTATATGGAAAGCTTCCCAAAATCCAAATCCCACTCCCAATCAACTTCCACTCCCTTCTAACTAATTTTTCCCCCAAATTAATTAAGTGTCTGTCCAAATTTATGAATGAAAATAATATTAAAATGTAGCGGTGTGTAATAATGTAAATATTGTATGTGTTATAATTATTATATATATATATATCTAATTATCTATTAAGCGTAAGGTAAGTAAGTATAGTAACTGTAGGTTTATAGATGATATATGTTTACTAACCCAAATGTTTTGTCCTTTTCAGCTACTAACAAGTAAATACTACCACAAAGTTAAAAGTCGACGGTACAGTACTCTGCCGTCACCACTCGACACTGGCAGTATAGTCGACAACATTATATTGGAGACTCAGTTGCCAACAACAACAAAAAAAAAAAAAAAAAAAAAAAGATTGTAGATAATTATGCGGCTATCTTATTATGCGGTTAGTTTAAATTTATTTTAAAATGAGGAGGACTCTGCTCCAATACGAATTAATGGTGGATTTCATGGAATATGCCAGTGACAAGCAGCGAGCCTTCAGTGTTCCGACCACTCCGCAGTACCCATGAAGCCAGCCGTTCACCGACACCACCAGTCGCCAATCCTTCATTAGAAAAGGAATGCTGGAAGCCTCGACCGAAAAAAAAATCTAAAGGGAGTTTAATCAAATTGTGTTTAGAGAATGATAAGAAACCTAGGGAGTTTGCTAGGGAGCGTGAGGAAACATATGATATAATGGAACAAGAGCGTTTGGAATTACGACGAGAAGAATGAAGAGTAAGGCAGAGCTCCTTTTACAGGCTCAGTGGCTGGAACTTATGAGAGAGGCAATAAATGTTTTAAAATATAATCTAGTTAAAAAGATGATTAATGTATATTTACATATTTTATTTTAAATTACTACATTTTGGAATGAGGAAAGATTATGTTAGAATTAAATTTAAAATGTCTCACTATAGTTACCTATTATAAAAACATAGGTAAGAATAGTTTTTAAGTTAGATTAGTGTGTAAGATGTTTTGGAAATGTATAATAATAAAACACTTGGGTCATCTGTGTAGTATATTTATTTGCTGTACCAGAATATTACTTAAAGCCCTTTCACTTATCAAATCATCGCTTCTATCATTTTCATGTCTCATATCAGAAGATGAGGTATGAGACAAGTCTTGTTCAGCCGTTGTTGTATCTACCTGTGGCTCAGGCAAAAATTTATGACCAAATTATGCAACAAGCCGTTGTCAAACACATTTTTCGGGAGCATAATGCAGAGTGCGGTCTTTGCACAAGCATCGCCTCTTCTTTCTTTTACTGCAGTATATTGTGGCCCGGAGTTCCCTCTACCGCATCCAAAATGAGTAGGCGTCATTAGCCATGGTCGCTGTGGGTAGCCAGAATCACCTGTAAAAAAATATTTATTAGAAAACCTAATTTATACTAGCTACTTCCTCGCGGTTTCACCCGCTGCTCGACTCCTATTGATTTCATTTTAGCATTATAAGGTTAGTTTTTGTTGGAGTTGCTCACAGAAGTACTTGAAAGCTTCTTTATTTAGGCGGTACCTAGTATTTCTAAACTACGTTTCAGTGATATCCATTGGATTAGATATCTTTCTGAATTTAGCTCGGCACACGATTTCTCTAGAATAATCAGTTAATTCGTATTATTTTCTTGAATACATATGTCTATATTAAGTGAAACATAACTTGAATAGGTAGTTACTTAGGTACTTACGAAGTTTCTCTTGACTCTTCATCTCCAAGTAAAATAGCCACAAATAAACTATTTCTCCAACTTGGTTCGTACAGCGGCGGTCTTTGCATGATGTTATACTCGTAAAGAATACTCACAAACATTATAATATATTATTTAAAACACGATTGAAATATTTCGAAACCTTTCTCACCGTCAAATTCTTAGTGACAAATGTTTCGACAGTTTTCGATAGCCAGTCTTCGAAACTTACGTTACTACACGTCAAAAGATCGTTCGTGCTTCCAATTTGCGTCAAAATGTTCTAAGTTTCGATAGCAACACGATACGATTACTATACGATAGTTGTCAAAATCATTCGTGCTTGCGATTTTTAGTTCCTTTTACGCACGGTAGGGGCGCTGTACAAATCCCATAGAAAATACTTTCGATCTCGATACGAATACTTTCTCGATAATGTTCGTGCTAGGCACAGTGCTAGGCCAAGGTAATAATATCTACAAGTATTTCAACTTCATAGAAACGGCCGAAACGCGAACTATACCTACGCGCCCGATGTCGGGACGCGCTCGGGACGCAGACAGACGCGGCTGTACCGCAGTGACGAACGGACGGTGTGTTGTCTTTTATTTAGAAATCAGCTCGAGTACATTATTTAATATGACGAATAGGAAATATTGTGCTGTTATTATGTTTGGTTGCATGAATTCGACAATAACGCATCCAGACATAAGTTTTTTTTAAATTACCTGGAAACTCTGAAAGGTAAGACTATAAAATAATTTTACTTACTAGTAGCCTAGGTAGGTACATAATGTGTGTCTTTATGGATCATTATTTCCAGTTATCTCACGAAAACAGATGTTTGAATTTATAAATAATATGAATAAAGTTATTGAGACGAGTGAAATAGGTAGTTATAGGCGGTTCTGGTTCAGAATGAATCATGATACGTTAGGTACCTACCTACTTACGCTTGTGTTAAAACGGTTCATGTATGTTTTGTTATTTTGTATAATTCAAAGTAGAGAGTGTGGTATTTTTAACCGACTTCAAAAAAAGGAGGAGGTTCTCAATTCGATTGTATTTTTTTTTTTTTTTTTTTTTTTTTATTATTAATAATATTTGTTTATTATCTGCGTTTATGAATAATACTAGAAAATATTTAATAACAACAATAAAACAGCTAGACTCATGTAATATTTTGATGTTTGAAGGTTGTGATTTTAGAACATTCGTAGTCAGCTGTTCAGTTCGGCATTAGTGGCCAAAGAAATTTTGTTTGTTTATTTTTAAAGCACTTTATTTGTTTATATAAAAAAAGGATATTTACAATCACAAAACTAAATGGAAACAGAAAGTAGACAAAGGTAATTAAAATACTGGAGACGAGCAGCCCTAACGCATGTTTACGTACCGCGCGGCTGTAGGTATTTATTTCTTTCAAGCGGCCGAGTTAAAATACTGTATGATATTTATACTGTGGCTAGGCACTCAGCAAACGTGCAAAATAGGGGTGGGCCGCTAATTGTATTTTTTTTTTTAAATAAAATGTCGATAATAATTTGAATGGCGAAGTTCAAATATAAATAAGGATTACTACTGCGGGTTTGTAAAAGAATCCGCAATACAAGAATTTCCAAGGGTTAAAATAGCAAAATAATCAGTATAATCACTAATACTTATTTTATATTTAGATTTTTTTATCTTTTACTAGCTACACTTGCGCGTTTTCACCCGCTGCTTAGCTCCATTTGAACTTAGCATAATGTTTTATAGCCTGTATCACTCGGAAACATTGTAGCAATCTATCAGTGAAAGAATTTTGGCAGCGGTTCCAAAGATTAAGATTACCCCCTACATACAAACTTATAATTGGTCTATGTAAAGATTGAACAATGAGTATACTCTCATTGTCCTAAAATAAAATTAAATAATGAAAAAAATTAAGTTGTGCATTCAGTAAATGTCGTAAACACAATCTTTTCTCATGGTTGTTTGTTTGTTTTAGGGTAATGAAAGATAATGGTTTAACTTATGGTTTATTGTTTTCAAATAGTCAGTCAGAAATACCAACTTTCATCTAAATATTCGGTTACAGAAAAATCCTGGCTAGTTACCAACATTTTCTGACCGACGATTAACACTTCTACTGTCATATCTGATAATTAACAAATCAATTAATTTCTTCATACATTGGAAGACTTTTTATTACTAAATAGTGAATTGAGACGCCGCCGGTGTTATTTTGACTTTCCTATTGTTAAAATGTACTCTGTGATTTTGACACAGAAAACCAAAGAGAACAGAAAACTACAGTACTACACTACGCAAAACTTCAAGTTACGTTTTTACAGTGTGGCCACAAGAAACGTTTCGAAGTTCCCAATGTCACCGCAGCTCTTTCTTGCCGAGCAGTTAAAGTTTTTATTGAAACACCATAAAAAAGCTTTATAGTTTATTAAAACTCGTATAAAAATTAAATATAAATTTTAAACGGAAGATAAAATATCAGTATTAAGTCCGCGTCGGTTAGTAAAATTAGTAACACTAAGTACAACACTAGTGCCTACTCGAACGAGGACGTGCGAGGCGATCGAGTAGGTTGAGTAGGTTGGCAATATCTCGGGCGGAGCTTGGGTTTTCAGTTTGTTTTGTTCTGCTTTCATTAGCAAAATGATAGATGTTATAGATTTGTGTAAATATAAGAATTATTTGCTTGTACACTTGAATTAACAACAATTTACGAGAGTGTCAATATTGACAAGCAGGTATGTATATAATGCAACCAAAGCAAAACGAACACGGCTATATCCCTAATTCCTGCTTATAACCTCTTTTTAATTTGATCGGGTTATATTGATCAATAGTTTTCGTAACAAGACTACATACATAATTTTGAGCTTTTGTGGATTTCTCTTTTCTCTGTTTTAGGTCAAAATGTCTAAACGAGCGGCAGATGACGGTGGTAATGGCAGCAGCCAGCCTCCAATCAAGAAAGTTCACTTTGAACCCCATCTTATTGGCCCTGTGTCCACCCTAGAGGAAATGGACATAAAGGTTCTCCAGTTTCAGAACAAGAAATTGGCTCAGGTATTCATTATGCTTGATTAATTACACACAATTCACATTGTTTTGTAGGTCCAATGAATGTTAAACATGTCACGATCAGCTGTTTATCAACACTTAATTACATGGCATTTATGGACAATGACAACAATGTAGTTAGTTTAATGTTTTGGAGAATTGAAAAAGAACATGATAATGTGATGTAAAATTATTCTGGTTTTGTTATTATGCAGATATATTTTTATATTATCTTGTTCTGTTTCTTTTATGTTGTAAGGTCGTGACCAAGTAGGAAGAGAAACTTACATATTCTGATCAAGATACACATAGACACATGCTTCATTACTTGATCTGTACTTGATGTTTATATCTATGTTAATGTAAATTGCTTATAGTTAGCAAGCATAAACATTATTTGTATAGTACCTTGGAACATTACCAACTGGTGACTGTATGTAAAAAGTACAATAATAAGAAGTAACTTATAATAGATCAAATGATAGTACAAAATAATAATAATAGAAAAACATTTCTTCATGATTGAGAATGAAACCTAACCATGCTAAATTTGCTTCCAGAGGATAGAGCAGCGCCACAGATGTGAGGCAGAACTTCGTGCTAGGATTGAACAACTAGAAAAACGTCAGACACAGGATGATGCCGTACTCTGTGTTGTAAATCGGTATTGGAATCTCCTCAATGAAGACATCAGAGTGTTACTACAACGTTTTGATGCAGAAACTGCAGATGAATCTGAAAATAAAAGTAAGTGTTATTATGTTATGCCTCTACCTGTGAGGTTATAGGGCAAAAGTAACCTATATCATTCCAGATTATCTGTAAACTCAAATTTCTCCATAATATCTAATATAAAAACATACAGACAGCTGTTTATGTAATATACTAAGAATAATTATACATGATTGTTCTTTCATAACTGCGAAATGAATTAACCTAATTGGATTGAAATTGATTGATTAATAGCTACTTGAATTATCCAAAAATTATCGAAGATGTGTGGATTGATTCATCAAATCAAATAAATAAGATAAATGATAAAAATAATTGTGAGAATATGTTGTGATTGTCTGAGTATCCTTGCTTTTAATTTTTAGTGATCAAATGCATAGAACTAGACATAATAATTAACTATAACTACTTTGTAAAAGAAATTTCTTATTTCTAATTAATTAAAATTCATTAACTAAGTGACATATTAACAACATTCTAACAGTATTGTTAATATTATGTATCATGGTATTATTTTTGTCATGTTTTACAACATCATCATTTTAACAACATTCCAAACTTAAATAGTACAGTCCTCCTTGCAAGTGATTTGATGTGTCTCATGATAAAGATTATTTTAAATTAAGAATATTCGTAATGATACCTCTTTTGCAATAACATATGCTATTGCAAAAAAAATTGAAGGAATCAAAACAGTAATTGAAATGCCCTTTAAATTAATTTCTGTGAGGATGTAGATTGCTTTCAACCAGCCAATCAGAAGTCTACTACATGATGATGATGATAATGAATTTGCAATGATTTCTTTTATTGTTTCATTGACGCCCGGTTTCTGAAAGGCTTGTCAACGCTAAAATTAACTAATCTCCTGTTAAATCTCTTGTCAAGTGTCAATTGGGTTGCATAAAGCATGATTAATCAACTAATTTGATCATCATGTCAGTTGACATGGCTGTCAAATTAACTCAAGAATCGAATGATTATCGCAATTTTGGGTTTCTGAAACGCTGGTCAAGCCTTAATCATAGATTATTCGTCTGTCAAAAGCTCGGTCAACTAATCGGTGCTTGTTGGCGAATTAACTTACGAATACAACAGATTTTTCACGTGAGTCTACATTTTCTCTTCAAATAAGTATATTTTTTTAAGGTAGGTATACAGAAATATGTATTACGAAATTTTATTTGTAATAATACAATTTTCTTTGTAAGCGTAAATTATTTGATATCTTGATTAACTTACATTGATTCTGGTTTTAGATTACGATAATGTCTCTTTCGGATAGTAGCATGATGAGTATCAGCACATCCAGCAGCGATGAAGATTTAAGACCAGAATGAATCCGTTTGGTTTGTCTACAATGAAGAGGAATTTAAGAATCGGTACCAACCAACGGACAAAGGCGTTTGTGCTGTTACTAGTTAACATGTTACAAGCCGAATGTTAAACAGTTCACTTTGAGGAACCATTCTATCAGTGCTTTGGAATAGGTGCTACTGACAATAAGCTATTACCATTCTACATGAGCATTTCAAATTATGGTTACTGGTACAAATCTACGGTAGAATAATAACAAAAGAATCTGCAGCGATTACTATGCCCTGTTAACATCAGGATTGCACAAGGATAAAAACAGGATTCTACAACGTTATATTAGCTCTTTTCCAAATGTGATCGGGGCATTTGACTGCACACATGTAAAGATAGTCTACTGGTGGGACACGTGCTGAGTTGTACAGGAACAGGAAAAGATATTTCTCAAGTATATCTTAGGATAGTTCAAGAAGATATTGGTGCTCTTTCAGAGATAAATGAAAACACTTCTGAGCGCACATCTTTATTGTTGACCCATTTTAATTGTTAAGTAATATTAATGGTATGTATTTTTAGGTGAATTCAAAGAAATAACCATTTTATTAACATGTTTAATTAATCTTTATAAAATATAACACTTGAAATATAAAAACAAGTATATTATCTTACTTATACATATTTAGTTAGTATAGTAACTTACTTATATTTAAATTAAATACTAATAATGTATATTTCTTAACCAAATAATTTAAGTATTTTATTTCGAAATAATTATTTGCTGTTTTATAGTTAACCGATATTCTATAAACTTTTTTTATTTGCATACTCCATCTTTTTTTCGTTATACTTCTTATTATTTTGTTTCTGAGTGTCTGCCTCTCATGTTTAAATTGTTTCCATGATGTGCAAATTAAATTACCTGTAAAGAAATTTCATTAAAGTTGCAATAATTATTCTTAATACATTATTAGGTACTTAGTTAAGAAATCGGGACAGGTATTTAGAATATCCTAATCTGGTAATAGTTACAATATTCTGACTAGCTAGTGTGGGCACTATAAAAGTATTTTAAGATCAAAAACTTACATTTTTATTGGCTACATTCTGTCTCGTAGTTGTTTTTAATCCCAATAGGCTGTGATTAGGTGTTTTTGGTTTCGAGGCACTTCTGCATTACTGTTGAATTCATTCGTTGTGGTTTCCCGAGCTTCATTTTTATTAATAGTAGAAATAGCATTTGTGCACTGATTATCAATTATGTACTTGTATCTGTAATAAAACATGGTGCGTATTATACATCAGTCTTTTTTTTTTATGTAATAGGTCGGCAAACGAGCAGACGGATTACCTGATGGTAAGCAATCAGCGCCGCCCATGGACACTCGCAACGGTGGAGTTACGAGTGCGTTGCCGACCTTTCAGGGATTAGGGATTTGGAGATATAGGGATTGAGGAGGGATTGGGGAAGGGGAAGGATTGGGCCTCCGGTAACCTCACTCACACGGCGAAACACAACGCAGTGGTTATTTCACGCCGGTTTTCTGTGAGGCCGTGGTATCACTCCGGTCGAGCCGACCCATTCGTGCCGAAGCATGGCTCTCCCACACTTAATAAACTTAGTCTTGGCTGCAGCGCAGTATGTGAATTATAAACAAAGATATTTTATACTTTTAAAAAACAACAATAGGTTTATAAAACGCAATAGGTAAAAAAATATATGTTTATACTTATACTTACTTCTGAACTGGTTCTAAAAGAACATGCCTTTCCCTTTTGATGAAATTCTTCCCTCGTTACGCCATTTTAAGCAAGTTTAATTAGCATTTTATTGAAATTGTAACTTTAATATTTGAATTTCGCAGAAATGTTTGACATCAGTGACAGTCCGTAACTTTTTAAATATTAACATATTTGACACATAAGAATGAACTATTGAACAAGAAAGAGCAGTGTGGCTATGATTAAAAATAAATCGCATGTCAAATCAAAATAATCATAGATTAGTTAATTATGGTCTGATCAACGTTTCAGAAACTCAAATTGATTTGACAGTCATGTTAATTTAATCGCAGTATTAGTTGATCAATGAATTGACAAGCCTTTCAGAAACTGGGTGTTAATCTTTCAAATCAAATCAAAATCATTTATTCCAACTAAACCATAAATAGGTACTTTTGAAATATCAAAATAGAATAGTAGTCTGTCAGTCTATTTGTCAGTAAAGCTAGGTGCTTATTCCAAATTGTAGATTCGAATGGAGATGAACAAGCAAGAAACTCCATAACTTTACCAGTACAGTTACAGCAAATTAGTGTAATACAATGAAGTAGTATTTTTAATTGCTTCTTGTTGAGCAATGTCTCACAGAGAATAAGGTGGGATTCATAAAATTAATTGTTTATTACTGGGTGAAGGTTGTTGGCAATGTAATTGTACAATAACTACACAATATATTTAGTTAGGTATATGTGAAAAAGAATAATAATAAGCCGTATCTATTGTTTTATATTGTTTGTTTGTGGTGTTTCTGTTGATTAACTGATCTGAGGGTTATAAAAGATGTGTATGTTTACTTTTCTGACAAAAAATAATTTGAAACCAAGCCACACAGAAGGTTGTTGCAAAATTACAGTATTTGAATTTGTAAATAAATATTTTGAGTTAAATCACTAAACTAAACTGGATTGCCAGTGTGAAATAATTTCAAAGGATGGTTTATTAATCACTATAAAATAGCAAGAACTATTGCTAAAAGCATTTTCCTTTGTTATAGATGAGAATGAAGCGACCACTTCATTCCTCATGCAGTTGTCTACATGGGACAAGGAGGAGTTGGATGCTCAGCTGGCAAATCGGGTACAAGTGAGCAAGCGTGCGGTCGCGAAGGTACTGCAAGCCTTCGACCGACTGCAGCAGAGAAATGATAAGATCTGGCGAGCCATCAAGGGGGAGAGTGAAGGTAAGATACTTCTCATGTTTTTATAATCTCGAATAAAACTTGACACTATTGTTTTCATGTTCCTATACTTATGAGTGGAATGCTATGCTATATATATGCATATCTTTGTTGATTTAAAACAATGTTGCAGTTTTCTAAAGACTAGTCGTGGGTACTAGGATGTCGCTTTGTCATCAAAGTATAGTAAGATATGCCAAAACGCACTAAGTTATGCATGGAAATGCATGTGGTTGTAAAAGTGAATAATTCCTTTCATTAATAACTGAAGAATCTGCTATATCTATCTAGCACCTTATGTATTTATCTAATTAATTTCAGAATCTGCTCCAGCCCCATCATTAGACGATGTGATACGCGCCACCAACGAGGAAGTGACAGTTGAGAACCGACGCCTACAAGCGCTATGCACGACGTTGCATGAGAGTCATCACGCCATGACTCTGAGGGTGGCACAGCTACAGGATGCTGTCAACAGCAGAGACACTGAGAATGCCGAACTGAAGAACCAGATTGATGATCTACAGTATGAATTAATGAAGGTTTGTTTGGCATATCATGTAGACTTTCAATCCATTACACGGCTATATGAAGCACTATATTAAACGAATTTATAATGGTCTGTAACAGGTACGTTCCCGGAACGATAAGTTGGAGAATCACCTGGCAGAGGCTATCGAGAAGTTGAAGAGTTACCACCAGTCAGGCGCGAGCGCGGTGGCGCCGGTGGCGGCGGGGGCGAGCTCGGCGGGCGCGGCGGCGGGCGCCGTGGCGGCGGCCAAGCTGGAGGACATCGCCGCCGAGCTCGAGGAGCAGCGCGAGCTCGCCAACAACCGCCTCGCCGAGCTCGACCGACTGCATCGCCAGCATCGAGACACGCTCAAAGAGGTCGAGAAGCTCAAGATGGATGTCAGTACTTTCTATATATTTTGGTAACTTATACTTACAGTGATAATGCAGACTGTATTTAGTGATATTAACACTACACGATCAGCCTATAAGTGTCCACTGCTGAGCAAAGGGCTTTTCTCACACGTGGAAGGTTTGCGCATGAGCATTAATCACCACGCTTGCTTAAGGCGGATTGGCGATTTCAAACTAGATAGATAGATAGAAAGAACTAATTAGGGATTATAAATCCAGGTTTCCTCACGATGATTTCACCGTTAGTCAGCAGTGGTGTCTAAATAATCATAGGATGTACATATAACTCATAAAAATTGACATTGGTACTTGCCAGCTTTTGAATCTCATGCATGAGAAGCGGGATTTCTAACTTACACCACGACATTATGCCAACCTTATACAACTTTAATAGAATACCTTTTAAATGAATGATAACATTTGTACCAGATACGCCAGCTTCCGGAGTCAGTTATTGTGGAGACGACGGAATACAAGTGTCTACAGAGCCAGTTCTCAGTGCTGTACAATGAGTCCATGCAGATGAAGACCGCACTGGACGAGACACGCATGCAACTGCAGAACGCTAAGAACTTACACATGCGGCAGATTGAGATGATGGAGGTTTGTCTATAATATTATCATTATTTCTGTATTTGTAAATCACAGTAGTGCAAGATATATTCATATAAATGAGTTTATATGGCTTGTTCGCATAACTCGAGGATGCATTTTAAGCTACGTCAAGCTGCGTGACACTCGAGAGACGATCTCCGGCCACCGTAAGCACGGGTCTGCGGACGGCGAGTTAGGTCGGAGTAAGCTCGCCGCCCGAACAGATACCGAGCGTACGGAACGCTACGCGCCGTACCCGAGTGTACCGCGCGTAGCGTTCCGCGTGCGCCTTAGAGCCAATAGACCACCACATACGGGGCCCTATAGGGGCAGAACAGGAGAAGGAACGGGGGGGTTTTTAGTCAGTAAGAGTCTGATACTCTCTCTTCCCTTACACTGGGCGGAAGAATTAATTCGATGATTTTGCCCTGACAAAAAAAAAGCTGCTTGATACTAGTCTCGTCGTTTGTCACGATCAAAATGTTACCTCGTGAACGCTGTAATTCGATTGGTTGATTTAGTCGGAGGTGGCCAATCAGAGCACCGAACATTAAAAACCTGTCAAACGGCTGAACGTATAACCCTAGTCAATAAAGAATTTGATGCTAATTACTTTCTATTGGTAATTTCCGTACTTGAAATGTGGTGTTATGTTTTTCAGAGTGAAGAATTATCTAGGCAAAAGACATTAAGAGCTGAAATGATACAATTAGAAGATGTCCTCGGTCAGTTGAGGAAAGAATACGAGATGTTACGTATTGAGTTCGAGCAGAATCTAGCGGCGAACGAGCAGACTGGACCCATTAACCGGGAGATGAGGCATCTCATCACGTCGCTACAGAATCACAACCAACAGCTCAAAGGCGAGGTGCATCGGTATAAGAGGAAGTACAAGGATACTAGTCAGGAGTTGAATAAGGTAATACAGAAATTTATTGCCAACTTTATGTTTATACTAGCGGCTCACCCATGCTTCGCACGGGTCTCAAACGATCTCGCTAACGACAAATGGTCCCCTATTTAACAAATCTTCCCTCTACTTTTCTAAAATTTTCTTTCGTAAGAACTTTTGACTATAACAAACATAACAAGAATTGGTAAAATTGTAAAATTGGTCCAGGCGTTGTTCAGTTATGCAATTACCAACACATTTTGCGATTCGATTATATTATTATATAGATCAAGGGTCTCTGCATATGAATGGATATCAATTTTTTTTAATTAGTCGTGTCGTTTATTCTGTTAACTGTTAATAATACTCCTAAACTCACCGAAGATTAGTCAATTTTTGGCAGTTTAGCTATTGCTTAAGTATACGGGAAGTGCCCATACGAAGTTGGGGCGAGTGCTTAAATTACTGTTATACCTTTTTATGGAATGCGTGGAAGCAATCGCCTCCGCCATTGGCCACTTACAGCACCGTAGAAGTTACAAATGCGTTGCAAGTTCATAAGGGATTTGAGAATTGGTTGGGTAATCTTGATGTTAGGCTCAATACACTACATGTGGGTGCCACTCTTAAGCATAGTTTCAAGTTCATTCAAAAGCATCAGAGAACTTATTTAGATACTATGTGGTGTAAACTAAAAACTGATGAAGAAAGACGAAAGTTAGAAGCTGCCGTCCTGGACTACACAGATACTGATGTTTTTTTTATGTAATTGGTCGGCAAACGAGCAGACGGATTACCTGATGGTAAGCAATCAGCGCCGCCCATTGACACCCGCAACGGAGGATTTACGAGTGCGTTGCCGACCTTTTAGGGATTAGGGATTTGGTGGATATAATGTTGCTATAAATATAGAAAATATTACATAAAATTTGTTTTATTTTGCTATGCCTATATTTTTTTTTAATTGTTAGTACATTGCAAACAACGTAACAGTATATTATATGCTGACTTTGTTTTTTGTGAAGGTGCGGAAGGAGTTAGAGGAAGCGGGTTCCCGAGTCTCTATTGGGGGAGACACCGCTGACGAGAAACCCCATGCACTCAAGAAGGAGGAACCTGATCCAGAGGTATCTAACTAATACTGAAGTATTAACAATAAAACATAGAAGCGATTCTTTTTATATCTTTCGTTTCAACTCCACAGTTGAATAAAGACTACAAAAGAAAACGTAATTTTGAAATAAATATTCTAAATTAAGTTTTGTTGTGTTATTTAAAGTCGTTATATAAGATATATTCTGGCACTGACATGGTGACCGTTCGTTACATTTACCTCGAAACAACAATTATTAAAAATGGCTAATCTAAATCCGTAAAAAAGTTTTACACACCACTGTCGGCAACATAAGACAGGTAGGGACGAGTTGAAAAGGTCAGTTATAAAGTCTATAAAATATTACACATACACCATCATGCATACATACATACATACATACATAAATCCTCAGCTTAAAAATATCCCAATGCTAGAGAGGTCTCTTATCGAAATTGGAGGAAGAAGGGTGAAAAGAAAGTATAAGGGATTGAGATAGGATTTTTTCGACAGTTACAGTTACAATCACAGTTAGTTGTTCGTGTATTGTAAATGTATAACTAAAAAATAATAATGATAGAACAAGTGCAAAAATATAAAAGTTATTTATATTAGTTTTGAGTCAGAACAGGATTCTTATTCATTATTATAAAAGCGCGCATAACAGCTACGTCAACGTCGCCGAAATAAAGTCCCGTTCTGATTTGAAAAATAGAGTTTTTTTTTTAGTTTATACACGTGAGTGAGTATTATTTTCAATAAATTTATTATGTCTCACGGCGGTACAAATCTATACATATCTACATACTTTTCGATAAAACGGGAATAGCTAGGAATACCATTTTTTGTACAAGATAGACGAAGGGGCGACTATCCCTTAATACCTTAGTGTCCAAAAGGTTTATATCATCAATAATTTGCATCAAACCTGGCGAAAAAAAAAAATGTCTGAAAGTAATGAGATTTTCGAAATTCGAATATGTTATACTTTTCCGCTTACGCACCTCGATCCAAAGCCGATTTGATGAATGAATCATTCCATTTTTAAAATGAAGGTGTATATTATATTAACAAGAAATAATCCAAAAATAGAACTGTACTGATATAAAATGTATGTGTGGTTTGTGTTAGGGTGAAGAAGGTGGCAGTGGCGGCGGGGAGACCAAGCCGGCCGCCAGCAAGGAACACAGCCGCGCCAAGCTACAGGAACAGGACCTCATCATCAAAGATCTCAAACTACAACTCAAGTATGACTCCTCACACAAACTAAAATCAAAGTTAATAAAAAACAATGTCTGGAATTGGGTATCGGATAGCCTAAAATAAATTGTTAGAACAATAGTTGCGTTCTCTTGGGGTTTGGTGAATTGGTGATGTAAAAGTATGTAGTTAGGCAATGTTTTGTTGTAACATTACCAGGAAGGCGGTAAACGAGCAGAAGGAGTTGAAATTACTTCTGGACATGTACAAGGGAGTCAGTAAGGAGCAGCGCGACAAGGTGCAGCTCATGGCGGCCGAGAGGAAGGCGCGCCAGGAACTAGAGGACCATCGACAGAAGGCCAAGATGGCGCAGGTAACGTAAAAGGCTTTTTTTATGAAACGTTGCCCCATACTAGGATGTTATCCTGTGTCGTGGGTGCGTTTACAAACATAAAATTTCACATACACGCACATCCAGACCCGGAAAACAATTTGTTATTCACACAAAGAGTTGTTCCGTACGGGACACGTTGCGCGGTAGCCAGTTCCTAGTCTTCGCGCTAGCCGTGCAGTCAATGCTTGGACTTGGACAAGTCAGTGAGACTTGGATCTTAATTACTTGAGTTACACAGGCCAGCCGGTCAAGCCGACTGTGGTTCTCCCACACTTGAATTATTGTATATTCTTCAAAATGTTAATTATTGTTTGGTTTCCCACGCAGGAGAGTAAGCGGGAACGTAGACTGGCAGACGAAGACGCGCTACGCAAGATCAAACAACTAGAGGAACAGAAATACGAGCTGCAGAAACAACTGTCTTGTGCCAGACCCAACGCGGATCCATTGCACGCTTTCACACGACCATTCGCTGGATCACCGGTAAAATTAGCTACATATTACTTGTTACTTTTTCTTACATGCCCCAAGGTTTTCAACCGTTATTTTTTGTTACACATGTTCCACGCGAAATGAAGCCCATATCAACAAATAATTACGGTATTAACGCGAAAAATATTTACTGAAATACCTTGGTAGACTTGACGTTTCGACCTGGTTGCACGCGAAAGTTTAGAAGTTAGTAAGCCCGTATCAATCCCTATGAGATACGACACAAGAATAAAACGTGTACTCATTATAAATATTAGCTTCCACCCGCGGCTGCACGCGTTTACAAGTAATGTATCCCGGGAATTTGAAATCAGTAGCGTTTAAAGCGATAGCTTGACTAAAATACTCCAATCAAGTATAAATTATATAAGCTTAACTTAGAAACACTTTAGCTACCTATCAGTAAAATAATTTTGGAAATCCGACCAGCAGTTCCAAAGACATACAAACTTGCAAATTTTACCTCGTTATAATATTAAACTTCACATGACATAAACAATAAAAAAATAAAACTATTTTCATACAAGGCTAATTAATTTACTTTACCAAAACAAAAAAGTGTTCTTCCTCTTCATTTCACTACTGTCTTATTACAAGCCATGGACACCATAGAATATACGACGAGAATTATCGACAGCTGATTATACTAATCCAGTCAGGATCTAGGCAACCTCCAGTTCTAGTTACTGCAGACAGGTAAACTTTTATTGTATGTTTCTGGGTGTTGTTTCAAATCATTACTTAGCTTTATAAACCCAACTATATCACACACAAAATTCTATAAAATACACGGAGACAAATATTTAATTCACCGAGTATAAAAAGCCTACTTGTTATTCCATAGTCACCTATCTCTGTGCTACATTTCCTTCATATCCATTCTAGCTTTTATGCGAAAGAGAAACATGCATATTCACACATTCATCCATCCATTAATATAATATATCCTTAAAAACGTTGGTGTCCTTGCTTAGTTATTATTTACAGCTTGCAAAATGACTTAACAGACTAAAACTAAAACAGTCCATCACACATCATATCATTAGCACAATAGTGCACACTGCTGAGCAAAAGACATAAAATTCGGGAAAAGTTACATTGGTACTTCTAGGCTTCAAATCATGCATAAGAAGTGGGCGGCATAACCTTCGCACCACCATCTACAAAATAGATATAGTCCCTATTAATGCTTTTTCATTACTACTTTCACCTTTAAAAACTAACAATACTGTAAAATTAACTAAATTAATGGTCACAATAATAATAGTAAATAGTACTTTTCCAATGCGCAGGAGGAGGAAGCTCTCCTCAACGAGATGGAAGTAACGGGGCAGGCGTTCGAAGACATGCAGGAACAGAACTCTCGCCTCATACAGCAGCTTAGGGAGAAAGACGACGCCAACTTCAAGTTGATGTCCGAGCGGATCAAAGCCAACTCTCTCCACAAACTGCTCCGGGAAGAGAAGCAGTTACTGCAGGAACAGGTAACACGCTTGTTTATTATTATATTATGTTTGTATATAATAATGATTGTGAGATTATAACCATTTTACCATTTACGATGTTGCCCGACCAAGCATTTGGATATTTCGGGATTGGGGGAAGGGAAGGATTGGGCCTCTAGTAACCTCATTTACACGGCGAAACACAACGCTATGGTTGTTGCACGCCAGTTTTCTGAGAAGTTGTGGTATTGCACGTTCGCGCTGGCCCATTCGCGTCAAAGCATAGCTCTCCCACTTACAGATAATAGTCGTTTTACCCACTAGAGTCATTTAATAGAAAAAAATGCGATTCATATCTTTGTGTTCCAGGTGCTAACTCGCGACCAACAGATTGAGTCAATGGGCGCGGTGGCACGTCGGCTAGAGGAGAAGGAACGCTTGCTGCAGGCGACACTGTCGGCCGTGGAGAAGGAATTATTGCTCCGCCAGCAAGCCATGGAGATGCACAAGAGAAAAGCCATCGAGTCCGCACAGTCTGCCGCCGATCTCAAACTGCATTTAGGTATGTACATTAAATACTTTATGCTAGTACAAAATGTTTTCATGATATTGGAAAAACAATCGACTATAGTCTCTAATCTATACATATATTATACTAGCTAATCTCGCGCGGTTTCACCCTCTGCTCGGCTCCTGCAGATCGAACGTAGCGTGATGTTTTATACCCTATAGCACTCAGGAGCATTGTAGCTATCTATCAGTGAAAGAATAAGGTTCCAAAGATTACCCCGTACATAGAAAATTTGTATGTAGGGGGTAATCGTTCACTGATAGATAGTTACAATGTTCCTGAGTGTTATAGGCTATGAAACATCACGCTACGATCAAATGGAGCCAAGCAGCGGTTGAAACCGCGCGATTGTAGATAATAATTGTCAGGAAATATTATAGATTAGTGAGTGAGACTGAGTCACAAAAGTCCGTTAATGGTTACACTTTTATCATAATGTTTTATTATTTCATTTTCCTGTTATTGTAGCTAATGTTATGTTTGTTTTCCTTCCAGAAAAGTACCACGCACAGATGAAGGAGGCGCAACAAGTAGTGGCTGAGAAGACGAGCGCTTTAGAAGCCGAAGCTTATAAAACAAAAAGACTACATGTAAGGATTTATTATTATTATTTGTATGTTCGATGCCATTCACGGGATCACAGGGTCCCGGACATTTGGAAGGCGTACAAGGGGCCGAAACCAACTCTCAAAAGGTCCTTTGAACAACTTTAATATAAGTGAAATGGGACATCAGCCGGCAATTATACCTGTATGTACTATGAAAGTGCACCTAAGGACAATCCCCGGTTGATGCAGGATTATTGTGAAATGTGGTAAAAATTGATAGGGTTATGGGTATGGGTTGCTATGGACTGGTGGATATGATAAGTTTTGAAACACTATGGCCCCTGCCCTTAACCAATATTTGAGCATTAGGATAAACAGGCAGGGGGCGACTGGCAAACTCAATCAATGGGCCTCCGGAAACGGCCGCTAGCATGTAGTTTATTTACCATATTATTTTATCAGTTAATATCCACCCGCCCGGTCTTTTCACGTGTAAGGTGCTGATACTAAATTTCTTCATTATTTAATGGATGTTATTTTTCATATAAACCTTTCTCTTCAATCATTCTATCTATTTAAAAAACGCATCAAAATCCGTTGCGTAGTTTTAAAGATTTGAACATACATACGGATATAGGGATAGAGAAAGCGACTTTGTTTTATACTATGTAATTATATTGTATTATATTGATGTCTATAGTCAGACTTTTAATTCGATTCCTGATTTGACATTGACCACTGTCATTTTGTGAAATAATGATACCACATAACAGTGTAGTGATGAACACAAAAATCGATAAACAATAAGTAAATCAGTTTCAGGAAGGCATACAAAAAATTACGGCTACCGAATGGTCTAAATGTGTATCCCATGTTTTCAAAGAGGAGGAAAAAATTAGTAAGCTAGATATGTTAATTGACAATAAATATCACAGACACAATTCATAATAAATGTTACATAGAGTAACGGCGATAGCGATAGCGATGACGGCGACAATTTATAAAATGTCTGTTTTATTTGTCACGTTCCTTCATGATCGCATTTTTTATTAATTTCACACAAAATTACAAAAGAAAAGTCTCAGATCGTTAATTAATTGTCAAAACTAAATTATCGGTTCAGAAATATTTTATTTCCTGATAAATTTAGTTTACGAGAGTAAATTTATAAACGAGAGGAATCGATTCAGAAATATTCGATTTCCATATCGAATAATTTCGCAACGTCACTATTTATTACGTGTCATAACGTTGCAACACTGAAATTGTCAAATCTGGAATGGAATTAAAATTCCGAGTATAGCTACATCGTTGTCAGTCATTTGTTTTGTTAGTGAATACCACCCAAAGGTTGTTTTTTTATGCGATTTTCTCCTCTACTTTTTTAATTGCTTTTCTGATTTATGTATGTGTTTTCTGATTTATGCAAAGACAGCATGTAAATAATTATCGAAATCAGTCTAGTTCATTCGTGATGCCATGATGAAAGGAAATTGAGATTCGTTTATGAAATTACAGATAGGTGTTATGAATTTTCTTCATGTATTGTTTGCATGAAATCTACTGTCAGCCAGCTATGCTTAGACCGTGCAGTGAGACTATTTCCATGCATAATGAAAAGAGGTCTGAACTTCTGTAAAAGTTATAAAAGTAAATTGTTTTGTCTCTAAGAAATATTAGTGTTTGGTTTAATGGGACATTGGAATGACTAAGGAAAGAAAGTGCTAAATGTCTATTATCTATATTATGCTATTATATTATCGCGTTATAGGAAGAGCTGGCTATTCTACGGCGCAAGGCGGAACGGATGAAGAAGATGGAGCAAGCGGGCAGCAGTATGGACGAAGTACTACTAGAGGAGATCCGGGAGTACAAGGAGACACTCACCTGTCCCTCTTGCAAGGTGTGTGTCACATATGTACTTACTTATATACTGTAGATTATCTGTAATCGTAATCTGGCTTCACATAGATACCTATTTAAAATGATAATTTTTTGTCTTAAAAAAAGCATTGACCTTCACTAGGATTTTCTCCTGTGTCGTGGGTACTTTTACAAACACATAACTTCACATGCACATCACACCCAGACCCGGAACAACAATCTGTAGATCAAACAAAGTGGTTCCGTGCGGGAATCCGCGTCAACTGTGCATATACTATATTCCATTTGTCATCGTTCAGGTGAAACGCAAGGACGCGGTACTGACGAAATGTTTCCACGTTTTCTGCTGGGATTGCTTGCGCACGCGGTACGAGACGCGGCAGCGCAAGTGCCCCAAATGTAACGCGGCCTTCGGGGCCAACGACTACCACCGCCTCTACCTGTCCACGTAGGCAGGTCGGCCCGTCCCCAGCCAGTGTCGGCCTCCTCAGGTACACGTGCAATTGTAACTAGCCAAAGGAGATGCTCGGTCCAGGACCGAGTGCTATTATACGCTCACTTCTGTGAGTTCCAGTAGTTCGAGATGAACCTCGTGTGGCCAGCGTTTGGTTGCCCAGCAGCGGATCAGTCACCTTATTAGATAAATGTTTTATTAATTCGAGATCTCTGTAAAGTAGTAACGAATGGATTTGGATCTAACACTTGCTACACTTTGCGTTGTTTAGAACGCCATGGATATAGATTGTATGTTAGTAAAAATCGTTTCAATATACTTATCGGGTATACGGTAGGTGGTAGTAGATCAGCAATTATCATGTTATCAGAAAATATCGCGAATACAGTAAATGTATATTTAATTGTTAGTGGACAGAAGAGTTACACATGTGATGTTGATTGAATAAATAATTGTATATTTACATTTTAAATTGCAAAAATTCAACTAGATTGCTAGAACTACTAAATGAGAGTGTGTATCTTTGTCTTATAGCAGTGAACCCACATCCCAGGTAGACATAAGTATTGATAGATGATCTCAGGACTACCTGCATTAACTGTAGCAAAGTATAGCAAGTATTAGACGGGAGCAGTATTGAACAAAATGAATGTTCACATTGAACATGGGTTGTGATGCACTGTGAGTGCGAGAGTAAGATGCTTGTACACGCAACGGTCGCCAATATACAAGTCAGAATATGTAATAAAGTCACTCAGTATGTCACAATTATTAGCCGGATCTATATGTTAAAAGACATTATGTGCATACTACAAATTAAAAGATATATTTACTTTACTATTTGACCGGCGACTGTTGCGTTTATAACTTCCTATGTAACGGCCTGTTATTGTGGATTTATGTATTCTCTCGGCGGAACGAGGCGGTTGATGTGTAAAACAAATGTATATAGTGAGAAATATCAAAAAATTATGTTTTATTTTAGGTCATGTACGCTCATTGTCCACGCAAAGCGCTAAGAAACGGCGCAAATTAAAAAAAATGTCTACAAAAATTGTCTGGTACGATTTGTAGCAATAGTTTCATTTGATTGTGTTTCTGTATCTTCTTTTTCTCTTAACCTGCCCTTAACTAACTTGTGATCAGTACTAAGTATTAAACAATACATGTAACCACCCTTTTTGTTAATAACGTGTTCATGATGATACCACGTAGCTATTTATTAATGTAGGTGCGTGACAATGAGTTTAGCTAAAAAATGCCTAATGACCTAATCATAAGAAACTTGCATGCGAAGATTTCGCTAAACTACGTAGATTCGCATGTGAGTTTGTATATTTAGTCGAGTCCTTTATCTGCCACGACCGCCTGCCGTTCTAGCTTCCAATTTCTAGTTTGTGAAAATTTAGAATTTATTGAGATTGAAGGATGAAGGATTGAAGAGCTCAATGATGATATCCACACGTCATTGGGCTAGAGAGGTGAGGACAATCTGTACTGAGATTTATGTATTGGTTCCTGTCGATGGTCGAGCTAACTGATACTGATATAGATAAATAATAACAATAAACATATAATCGACATCTACAGAACCACAACTCTACAGTCAATACCTACCTAAACAGACGGAAGCTCTGTCTATGACATGTAATTTATAACAAACACATAAATAAATATAAAACTCGATAGCAATATATAATGACGAAGCTTTTGAAATATTTATAATATTACAACTTCAAATGCACGTCAATTAAATGTTAAATGTTCATTCCTTGTCTATAATGTTATTTTTGTATTAAAAATAGCTTTCCATGTTGAATATGAATTGCGTAAATGTAAAATAAGAATAAAAAATTGCATTTCGCGCTCTTATGTATATCGAATACATAATTTTATTGATGGTGTATATTAAGGATAATATCATGAATTCGAACAAGTGGATATAGTTTATATATCTGTATTTAGTAATTAATAAATATACTTATTGTTAAACAAATTATTGAGGTTAGTGTGAATGTGATTGGTGATAGCGCGCGATGACTTATTTGTACTGTAGTTAGGAAAAAATAGAATGTAGCTTACAGCCCACTGACTGATATATTTGTATATTTTAAGTTTAACATTTTGATCGGGCTTGCTCTCCTGCTTCACACAGCCGTCAAAAGCCAAACAAAGTCAGCTTGAAACTGGTTTTTTAAATGAACTAAGGATACATAATTGTATTAGGGAACTTCTAGGATTTTTGTTTAGAAAAAGTAACATTTTCATTTAAGTTAACTAGAAAATATATAATCTAATTGAAATATCTTTTACATATTGTGAGTGGAGTTAAATGGATAATGTAATGGGTTGATTGTAATAAATATTAATTAACTGTTGTAAACTTTAATCGCAGGGGAACAATTTATTTGACAGTATTTAATGAATTAATCAATAGAGAATCGCTTTTTTCTATCTGTTAGTGTTTATGTTAAGTTTCCACAACTATGCAATACGTTGGACAGTCGCAGATTGCACGCGATCTTTTCTAGTTCTGTTCCTTTTTATAGTTAGCGACGTCTCTGTTATACCATTAGTATTGGTTGTAATGCTGTACTGTCTTTCATAATTAGCTCTTTCTAGAAAATTGCTGTTGATATGTGGCCACTGTAGCACTGAAACAGTTGTTAAATATGTACTATGTGTATATCTGACTGACCTACAACAGTTCGCGTACTAGTTGAATTATTCCTTCGAATGTTACTTCATTTTGTTACTCATAACGTCACAGCTGAGGTCACTTTTATAGGTGTGTATATTTAAAAATCACGTGTTAGTATCATTTTTATATTATACATAACATTAATGTACAGTCTGACTGTAATCTTCAAAATCAGATGCAAAATTATATCGTCATAATACACTGTAAAGTTGGCTGTAAAGTATTTAATTATTTAATTTCGGTGGAACCTATTTAAATTGTAACATTAATGGACTACGAATAAATGTCTCAACAAATCTTTAGTTTTTTTTCTTTTTACCTGTACCCAGTATAGCGTTACCTTCCGGGAATTTAACCCGAGACCGAGTTACTCGGAAGTCGCACTGCTATCATTAGGCAGTTTTTTATACATCTAAACATTTTGCACCCTGTAGTTTGATAACGTATGAGATAGGTACTTCTTCGTATTACAGGAACGAGATAAATAAATTTGGCCACCTTTGCTTTTATGTGGTATATAGGCAAACGAGTGGATTACTTGATGGTAAACAATATATGGACACCTGCAACACCAGAGGATGCGTTGCTGGCCTTTCGGAGATTGAGGGACGAAAAGGCCATACTACATGTAGCGGCACGATCACGTCGCTACATTACTTAGATACGATAGAGATAAGACACACATGTTAATTGTTGCACGTTTGTTAGGATAGCTAAATCTGAAAATCTCACGCATCTTCTTAGTATATAAGCACCAGCAATTAAAGTAATAAACAGACCTTAACCATCTACAGTCTCATTATTTACCTTGCCACGAAGTCTGGCAAATTGGTGACCCGACGAAGAACAATCAACATGACTCATTCACCCTGCAAATCAAGCAGCAGCCAACAAGAAGCCTTGGAGATATCAGCCGGAACCGGAATTTTGGAGGGACCAACCCAGATTATGGTTTAAGCAACTAGAAGCCATAGTAGCACCACAGAAGCAAGGAGACGATTACAAGTACTATACGGTCATTGCAAAACTGCCAAAAGAAGAAATAATACAGGTTAGTGACCTCATTACTTGCCCACCGCCAATAGAAAAGTACAAGGCTATCAAAGAACGCCTAATCAGTTGCTATGAGGAATCAGACCAACGTCAGCTCCAAAAATTATTGTCTGAAATGGATCTCGGCGACCAGAAACCATCACATCTTCTGCGCAAGATGCGGACCCTGAGTAACGGAAATATCAGCGACGAAACCATCAAACTTCTATGGTTGAGGCTTCTGCCACCATCAGTGACTTCGGTTCTAGCAGTCACAGAAGACATAGATGTGAACAAGATGAGCCAGATCGCGGACAAGATATTAATAAATTCAACACGTACAGAGGTGTCAGCTGTAAACGGAAACAAATCTGGCGACGATACAATGTCATGCATACTAGCACAGTTAGCAGAAATGCAATTGGAACTAAATGCAATTCAGCAAGGTCAAAAAAAAACTATCGACGCAGCACTCAAAGTTATTCCAATCGTCGGCATTTCCTACCACAGTCAAGTTCAAGAGAAAGAAGGCACTTTTGTTTTTACCATGGAAGATTTAAAAAATATGCACAAAAGTGTGTTCAACCTTGTGATTGGAAACAGGATCTCAACTCAAGGAAACAGGGAAACTAATTGAAGCACGGACAACGGCGGAACTCTGTGCTATTCACCCGTCCAACCGCCTCACTATTACCGACCGAAAAAGTGGTATGAGATTTTTGATTGACACGGGAGCAAATATTTCAGTTATTAGCAAGCCACAGAGACATTCACTAATACAAGAGGAACAATGTATACTTTATGCCGCCAATGGTACAAAAATTAAGACATATGGTGAAAAAACACTCTCTTTAAACTTCGGGCTACGAAGAAACTTTGTATGGAACTTTGTCATCGCCGATGTAACACAACCGATTATTGGAGCAGATTTTTTTTAGAGCATTATAAGCTATTAGTCGATATAGCTGGTCGAAAACTCATAGATAGGGTAACTGAGCTGACAACGCCCGCAACCCTGATCAAATCGACGCAGCAAACAATCCGCACTATTAACATTGAGACGAATCCACGCATTACTCAACTATTAAATGAATACGAGGATATTACGAAACCAGCCTCCCTCCACACTACTCCAAAACACAAGATTAAGCATCATATTATCACTAAAGGACCAAGGAAAATATAAGGAACGCAGTATTAACAGTTCACCCCTCTCGCACCGCCCCTTTGGCACTTATGACGGACGCCAGTTCGACCTGGGTTGGCGCAGTTCTGCAGCAGAAGTCAGGACGTAATTGGGAACCATTAGGATTCTTTTCAAAGAAATTAAGTGATACTCAACAAAAATACTCGACATTCGACAGAGAGTTGCTCGGAATATATATGGCAGTCAAACATTTTCAAAGGTTAGTCGAAGGAAGAGAATTTACTATCTTTACAGATCATCGACCTTTGACTTACGCATTTTCCCAAAAACCGTCATCTAATGATACGCCACGGCGAATACGACAACTGGATTTTATTTCACAATATTGTACCAACATTCAACATATAGAAGGACGTGACAATATTGTAGCAGACGCATTGTCACGGATAGAACAAATTGATGTGCCATCACCGATTAATTATGCTGATTTAGCAAGATGTCAGCATGATGACCAAGAATTATTACGACTTCGTAATAACAAGAATTTAAAATTTTCAATCAGCAGAAACAATCAGCACAAATGCAGTGGATAGTTCATCGACTGCCGCCGCCGTCACAACAAAGGCAGCAGTTTCTATTTCCTTCGAATTAGCAACAATGACATTACATTACGCATAGGATGTAATTTATCAGCAAGGTTAAGTTATTATATAATTAGGTACATACTAATTTTTTTCAATTTATATGTTAATTATTTTTAAAAGGGGGGAGTATATGTAGCGGCACGATCACGTCGCTACATTACTTAGATACGATAGAGATAAGACACACATGTTAATTGTTGCACGTTTGTTAAGATAGCTAAATCTGAAAATCTCACGCATCTTCTTAGTATATAAGCACCAGCAATTAAAGTAATAAACAGACCTTAACCATCTACAGTCTCATTATTTACCTTGCCACGAAGTCTGGCAAACTACATACCAACATAAAAAAGCAAACATTCGTATTCTGTCTCTGAAACGTTATATGTATTGAAAAAAAATGTGCCGAAATATACATAACTATAGTTTGTTCCATAATTAGAGACAACGATTTGACATTTCGAGTGTTGCATGTTTTTTCCATTTCATAAATAGTGAAGTCCCGCGACCGGTATATCAGCCGGAGTTGCAATGTGGCACCGCGGCCTCAGCCTAAAGCAAGAGAAGGAACGGGGAGTTTTTAGTCAGTAAGAGCCTGACATTCTCTCTCGCCTTACCCTGGGTGGGAGAAGTGATTTGATGATTTTCCCCTGACAAAAGGAAAAAGGCCGGGATTTCCTATACGTGCTTCATCGCATGCAATGGGCGACGCAGGGCTTGTTACGTAATATCAATTGACTGTCATCATATGTACAGAACATTTCGTCGTTGTCGCCACAAGGTTATTAAAGTATGGGATTAAATATTACAGTTTAAAGTCAGAAGATTCATTGGTACAAATAAAACCACATATGACTTTCAATATTTTTATTTTATATTTACATACCCTAAAGTATTTACATCGCATAATTTTTCGATTTAATTCAAAATAAATTCAAGTTTACCTATGATATATTCCACTGACTTGGGCAGTTGGGTGTTGGAATAAATTCTGTCAATAATTTGTTAAGTATACAATATGTAATGATTACGTATCATTAGCACCTGAAGCAAGCGATGTGAATGGACGAAGCGATTCAACTGTTTTTGTACTATTTACATACAAGCGTTTGCTGCATAATATATACTGCATAATATTGATATTGTAAATGTGCCATAATTTCAGATTTCACGCAATTAATAAGTCAATTATCTAAATCAATCTTATCACTCATTTTACCAAACTTCAACATGGCCGTCAACACGTTCAACGTAAATACAATATCAGTCTCATTTGTTACAATTTTGTCTAACTTGCAACGCGTTTTGATTCACAAACTGTTATGTAAGTGGACCTTACGTACAGACTACACAAATTGTCACCTTAATAACCATCGATGAAGGCAACACAACATTTTTATAAATTAATTTGGATCGCATCGCAACTACAACCCTATATTTAATTTACAAGACAATAAGATTTGTGATAATTATTTAATTGTAAATCGAATTAAAATATCGAATGTTATTGACTAGATCAGAAAAATAAATATTGTGATATATTTGTGTACCATCCATTTTATTTACATTTTTAATATATATAATATATATAGAAAATTTATAATTTCTGCGATGTTTGGTTGATGTTTCTTATATAATATTAAGTCGGAACTCGTATGACTTGCAGAGCATTGATTCTAATGCGGTACAAGTGATACAGTTACGTATTTATTAAGTTTATAGAGGTGGGAGTTATGTGACGTGGTTGTTTTACATAATTTTTGTGACGTACAATGTTTGGCTTATGCGAACAATATTTAGACCCAAGATCAGCTACATACAACAAGAGCTAACACTAATGGCACTTAAAATACTTTAGTCATTATATGGGAACGGATGACACCAAAGTGGACGAGACGCATACAATAATATAGTTAGCTTGCAGTGCGTGTAAACATGATAACATAATACTTATACTACACCGACAAAACATTACAAGAGTTACAACTTATAAATTAGTAAATTTAATTTCAAACCGTACAATGTCATCGCAATGAAGAATTGTGACGAAACGTTAAATGCAATTAGGAATGAAAATGTTAATGCTTATTATAATAATTGTACAGAAACCAAAGTAAGTAAGTATACGAGTACAATGTGGCACTACATTGTTCTACCGTCAAATGTTTGAACATTGCATTGTTAGCGGAATCAATAATTTATGGAGAGCTTATTCCTTGCGAATTGAGATCCATCGAACATGATTTATACGCACTTTCACGTTATTGCTTAAACATTCCAACTTTTAAACGTACAACACTTTTTTTACAAACATCTTGTAGTATAGTATTATTAGCAGGAGATAAGACAATGTTAGCAATTTAAAACACAAACATCCGTTGTTAATTTGGTCTATTAAAGAGGGCATGAACAACTTTCCGACTAGACCGATTTTTAAATAATCTTTCTACGTTTAATTTTAGTGCGAGTACCTACCTAAGTCTCCAGTATTGTTTGTGCACGTCGGTCCTATTATTCTAGTAACAGACTAAGTAGGACGGATGACGTACTTCCGCGGAGGGCACACATAAGCTCCGCAACATATTTAACAATTCATGAACACTAGTCTCTTACTATCCTTACCTACAATATATGACAAAATGGAAGTATTATCAGGGGTCACGAGGGTGGCACGTGCGTGAGAGCATAACTAATGTAAAGGGGGAAGCTCAAAAAATTGATCAGAGCCGGGAACGACGTCCTTATTGTCCGATATGGGACGGATGGCGCGTCGGTCAGCTCTGCGTGTGATTGAGCAATGCGAGGCGTGGTTTGTGCGCGTTATGCTGTGCTTTGCAGGGGCGCCAGCGTGGCTGGGGGCGCGCTGGGCGGGGGCGCCGGGGGCGCGGCCAGGGCGAAGGCGAGGCGCTCGAGGCGCGCGCGTGTTGCGGCCAGACGCGGGCAGCGCGCGGGCGCGGCGCCCAGCGCGCCCAGCGCCGCGTCCAGCGACACGTACAGCGCGCGTCGCTCGCTCTCGCTGCACGCAGACAGCTCCTGCCATACGGACACCATATTAACAAAAACCTATTCCAATCTAAACTCTCGTTCTAACTTGATTACATAATATTCCTATATACATTGTACATGCAGGTGCATACCTCTTCAAGAGCTTCTATATCATCCTCCTCATCGGCCGGTACCCGCTGCTTGTTGAGCGGCTGAAATACAAAAATAATAGTTACATTAACAATGATAAATAAAAATTGTTGAAAATAGTTAGTTTTTTATAACTAGATGGCGTTGTTCAAAAAGCCATTTTTTCTGAATCGCGGTGTTAAGATTCTCCGTGAGTTGACTAGGTCCGCTAAGATGTAAGTTTTGTTTAGTACTGAATATACAGATATAACTTGTGACGTAGTAGTTTCATTGTGATATCCTCATCCTTGTGACGGTCGTGAGTGCTGCAGAAACAGTGCGGGAAAGTGATAGAGTGTTCATTTGGTCCTTCGAGCCGGATCGTCTGAAGTCTGGAGGTGTTTTTGTGATACTTCATTGGCTGGGCAAGCGGATTGCTTGCGCAAACTGGCCAAGGCACTGGAAGAAGCAGCAAGCAGCAGTAGTAGTGCGTCGTGCAGCGTGCTATTGCAGACGGGTGTGTCGGATGACATTACCGTCAGGGATCAGCAGCAAGGGTGACTGGAGAAGGTGTTGACGTGCAGAACGTGACGTCATTACGAAGACAGTGATCAGTGAATTAATAACGTCATCAGGTCGGGTCAGTACAGGATTAAAACCGTGAGTGGAACTTTAATTTTATTAGTGAAATCATTTATGTAACTAAGTTGTGGAAGAATTCTTGACTATTCAAATTTGAACCATATTTACGTGAAGAATTTAACTTGAAAAATATTGAATAATATGAACATTAACGTAGAATATTTAAACTATATTTAGATTTAGCCTAATTTTAAGAGATTTCGGGTGAGATGGGTAACCTATACCCGATTTTTCCCAGATTATTATTGTTTCATTAAGACTTGTAAACTTTTAAACATCTGTTCGACTTCGTATAATATAGAAAATGGAGTCTTTAACTAACAAACAAGAAGAAATATACAGTAGAATAGAAAAAGCTTATGTCAACTTCAAAAAATCACCTAAGGAACGTATAACACTCCCTTATTGCAGAGTAAGATTAGACAATTTAGAAAAATTATGGGAGCAGTTAGGCAACGGCCATAGTAAATTGTACGAGGAATATGAGCCTGATAAATTGAAACAGTGTCGATATGTGAAGAATGACGTTTATAACTTAGCAGAAGAAGTATATGTCCAATATAAAACTGATCTTGAAACTGTATTAGATTCATTTGATATTAAGGAACAAGACCTCAAAGAAAATAGTAAGGGTGGTAGTTCCAAGCAGTGTCAAGTAAAATTGCCAAAAATCATTATTCCGGTATTTTCAGGAAATTATAACGATTGGGTAACCTTTAGAGATTTGTTTGTATCACTTATTCATAAAAATACAAGTTTAGATAATGTGCAGCGTATGCAGTATCTGAAAGGATATTTGTCTGGGGAGGCAGAACAACTTCTTCGACAAATACCTATTTCAGATGCCAACTATGGCCGATGTTGGGAACTTTTGAATGCGCGTTATAACAATAAAAGATATTTGTCTCATTTTATTATAAAAAGATTACTCAGTCAGAGAAATTTGGACAAGGAGTCAGCTGTTGGGCTAAAAGTATTACTGGACAATACTAATGATTGTTTAAAGGCTCTTTCCAATCTCGGCGTTAATGTAGATTCATGGGACATTATAGTAATCCATATAATTACTTTGAAACTAGATCCCGAATCACGAAAGCAGTGGGAATTTAATGTAACTGAGCATAATGCATCAGAGGAACTGCCTACACTAATTCAGTTTACCGAATTTTTAACCAATCGGTATAGAGCCTTGGAATTTTTGGATAGTAAAAGTAATTCTGGATCTAGAAGTCATGGTAATAATAATCGAGGTACAATAACAAATAAGATAAGTAGTTTACATGTTGCGAATATTCAATGTTCCTTTTGTTCAGAACCACATAGGCTTAGTTTTTGCAAACAGTTTGTAAACAAACTAGATTGTAATGCTCGTCGTGATTTTGTTCTAGAAAAGGGTATTTGTTTCAATTGCTTGGGTAACAATCACTCTGCTAAAGTATGTAATAATACTGTCAGATGTCGAATTTGCAAACGTCGTCATCATTCTCTACTGCATCCTTCGAACGAGTCTTCTGCCACGAGTTCGAACACCATACAGGCAAACGTGGGAACGTTAGAACATAAAGAAACCAAATTAACGAAGGAAAATGTAGATAGCCCTATTTCCACAGACGACATGAAAGGTAACCAGTCCGTTAGTTGCTTTTCGACAGGAAAATTGCGTAATACAGTTTTACTAGCCACAGCTCTCGTAAGAGCTGAGTCGAAAGTAGGCACTTACGAGGTGGTAAGGGCATTAATAGATCAAGGGTCACAAATTTCTTTGGTTACTGAAGCGACAGTGCAATTTTTGGGATTGAAGAAAATTCCTTCAACTCATATAATTAAAGGAGTTGGCGGGGATAAAGAAATAACATCAAAGTCAATGGTCACATTAAATTTACGGCCTCGGATGTATTCTCAGTTTAATATTCAAGTCCAGGCGTATGTCTTAAAATCCATAACCACGTTTCTCCCTGTTACGAAAGTAACGGCCGTAGAATGGGTAGATCTTCAGGAAAAAAATCTGGCAGATCCACAATATCATACTCCTAATAAAATAAATGTGTTATTAGGAGCTGATGTTTATAGTCAGATCATAGAAGAAGGTTTGAAAAAGAATGTGAATGGGTCAGTCATAGCCCAGTGTTCGAAATTTGGATGGATAATGACTGGTGTTGTAGAGTCATCTGCTGGGGTGTCTTCGAATATAGTCGTGATGCATGCTCATATAGATGCAAATGAGGAATTAAAGAAATTTTGGGAGTTGGAAGCCGAACCCAACAATCAAGTAAGAGTGTTGTCGGAGGAAGAAAAACAATGTGAAGAGTTATTTTCGGCAACCACCACCAGAGATGGAGATGGAAGGTATGTGGTTAGACTTCCATTCCGCGAACAGACTTTAACTCATCGGGTAGGTGGTTTTGAAGAGATAGCTGAAAAACGATTAAATTCATTACATATCAGATTGAAGAAAAATACAGATTTGAAAGAAAAATATAATCAAGTAATCCAGGAATATTTACAGTTAGACCATATGGAAAAGGTACCTGAAAAAGAAAAGGAAAAGGCAAACTCAATATACTTACCACACCACGCAGTTGTAAGGGATGATAAGGATACAACCAAGGTGCGTGTAGTGTTCGACGCGTCCTGTAAAGGCAAAATGGGTTATTCATTAAACGACAAATTGATGATTGGACCCCGCTTACAACCGGAACTTCGACATTTATTGATGCGTTGGAGGAAACATCCGATATGTTTAGCGGCGGACATCGTTAAGATGTATCGGCAAGTAAAAGTAGCTAATGCTGACATCGATTATCAGAGAATCCTGTGGAAGGAAGAGCCGGAAGACGTAGTAACACACTATCGTATGTTGAGAGTCACTTTCGGCACTGCATCAGCTCCTTACCTGGCGGTGAAGGCCCTCCAGCAAGTTTCGCACGATCATGGCAGAGAATATCCGACAGCTGCTGAAAGGGTAATAACCGATTTCTACATGGATGATCTGTTAACCGGTTGCAGTAGTGTTAAAGAAGGTTTAACAATTTATAGAGAAATGAATTCATTATTGAGTAAAGCAGGATTTAAACTACAAAAATGGATGTGCAATAATGAAGATTTACTTAATAAATTAAAGGAAATGAATGAGGAATTAATCGGAGAAGGTTTACACTTTAAAGAGGATGAAATAGTTAAATTGTTAGGACTTACCTGGAATCGTGGTTCCGATAATTTCCAGTATTCGGTCAAGTTTGAACCGGAACCTGGACCTGTAACTAAAAGAAAAATAATTTCACACATTGCTAAATTATATGATCCACTTGGTTGGGTGGCACCTAGTGTTATTTTAGCAAAAATACTTATACAAAAGCTATGGATAGCAGGATTAGACTGGGATGAGGAAGTAACAACTAACATTTTAAATGAATGGAATACTTACCTGGATGGGCTATCAATGCTTTCACATATCATGATACCGCGTTGGTACGGGACGACTTCGGATGTTACTCTCGTTGAACTGCATGGATTCTCCGATGCGTCCAAGGCAGCTTATGCAGCAGTGGTTTATATTCGTATTATTGATGCTGATGGTAACATACGTGTTACTTTAGTGACGGCCAAGACAAAAGTAGCACCCCTCAAGCAGGTATCTATTCCAAGGCTTGAATTGTGCGGAGCAGTAATGGTCACTAAACTCCTAGTTGAAGTAGCTAAGGTCATGGGGATAGATATAGGTAAAGTTCATGCGTGGACTGATTCCACAGTAGTTCTAGCATGGCTCAATAGCCATCCTAACCGCTGGAAGACGTTCGTCGCTAACCGGGTCTCAGAGATATTGACAACGTTAGATTCAACCCAATGGTCGCATGTTTCTTCGGGTCAAAATCCTGCTGACTTCGGATCTCGAGGAATCTACCCCTCGGAATTGTATAAATGTTCTTCCTGGTTTAACGGTCCAGCATTTCTGTCGGAAGCAAAAATACCTTACAGTAAACCAAAACAATTAGAGACCGATTTAGAAATTGCGAAGGTTAATGTCACTGTCACTGATGAGTCCCTATGGGTTAGATTTTCGACGTTTACAAAATTAATACGGGTTGTGGCCTACTGTAGACGTTTTTTGAAGTTAATAAGAAATAATAACCAGTTTAATAGCTATCTTCTATCAGAAGAGTTGAATGAAGCTCGCAAATGCGTTATTAGAATTTGTCAGGCCGAAGGTTTCAAGGAAGAGATTGCTGTTATCAGGAAACAAGGTCATTTGATCAAATTAAAAGGACCTCTCAAGTCTTTGAGTCCTTATTTAGACGAAGAAAACATTTTACGGGTAGGAGGAAGATTAGAAAAATCACAGCTTTCTTTGAATACAAAACACCCAATACTGATACCTAAAAGGTCTAAATTAACTGATTTACTAATAGCACACGCGCATGCCAAAACCCTTCACGGTGGAATCCAATTAACGCTTACATACTTAAGCACAGAGTATTATATAATTGGAGGTAAAGCTTTAATTAAAAGCTATGTCCAAAGGTGCATTCCATGTGTAAAAGCAGCTGCAAGAACTTCACAGCAGTTGATGGGCCAACTTCCCGAGGCTAGAGCTAGTCCTTCAAGACCATTTAAGTATAGTGGCGTTGATTACGCAGGTCCGATATTTATTAGGACGACAAAAGGACGAGGTCATCACGCTCATAAGGGATATATTTGCTTATTTATTTGTATGGCAACACGAGCGGTGCACATTGAGGCGGTCAGTGATTTAACTACACAAGGATTTTTAGCTGCGTTCAAACGTTTCGTAGCTCGTAGGGGTCTGTGTACGGATATTTGGAGCGATAACGGGACAAATTTCGTCGGGGCTTCAAGAGAACTCCACGATTTATTTGCATCAGAAAGGTCAATTTACTTAAAAGAAATACGTGAAACATTAGCTTCAACTGGGACAAGATGGCATTTTATCCCACCTCATGCGCCTAACTTCGGAGGATTGTGGGAGGCGGGCGTTAAGTCAGTAAAGTTCCATTTAAAACGTGTTATAGGCGATTCGACTCTAACTTATGAGGAACTATCCACTATATTGGTGCAAATTGAGAGTTGCCTTAATTCTAGGCCTTTGTCCACTTTGAACACAGAGTCTGATGCTTTTGATGTCTTAACGCCTGGTCATTTCCTGATGGGGGAACCCTTGGTTGCTGTACCTGATCACAATTTTGAGATGTCTAACGTATCCAATTTACGTCGTTGGCAATTAACACAACGAATGACGCAGGAGTTTTGGCGTCGTTGGTCAAAGGAATATTTGACAAAATTTTTACATCGTTACAAGTGGACCTGTCAAATTCCGGAACCAAATGTTGGCGATGTAGTAGTTGTAAAGGAGGATGACTTGCCGCCTTGTAAATGGCTTTTGGCGAGAGTTGTAGAGAAACACCCTGGACTGGACAAAATTACGAGAGTAGTTACCTTACGTACTCAAAGAGCTGTAATAAAAAGGCCCACTTCAAAAATATTTATTTTACCTGTCACTCAGTAGTTATAATACAGCTGTTTTGTGATACAGAGATAAATGTTTTGTTTTGTGATATGATTATAGAAATGTATGTTGTATAATTTTTTTTTTTTGTTTATATTGTAAGGTTCTGTTTTAATTTAGATGATTTTCTCATGGTGGGCGGTGCATATATAAATGTGATTATCTTAATTTAAGGACTATGAAAAATAGTTCCTTGGTGGGCGGAATGTTGAAAATAGTTAGTTTTTTATAACTAGATGGCGTTGTTCAAAAAGCCATTTTTTCTGAATCGCGGTGTTAAGATTCTCCGTGAGTTGACTAGGTCCGCTAAGATGTAAGTTTTGTTTAGTACTGAATATACAGATATAACTTGTGACGTAGTAGTTTCATTGTGATATCCTCATCCTTGTGACGGTCGTGAGTGCTGCAGAAACAGTGCGGGAAAGTGATAGAGTGTTCAAAAATTATTACTTATAAGATTATATAAAATTATAAATGAAAAGAAATCGCTAGTATTTATCTAAAAATAACACCTGTATTAGTATATGTATGTTTGAAGTAGCAAAATGTTAACAATACAGGTCTGTCGGAGTGTATGTACAGGGTGCTTGTAGTTGCGTCAACGCTGCAGCTGTAAGCCATATAATGTACAGTCCATACGTTCTCTCCTATAACACCTACACTTTATTTAGGTTTTATGGTGGCCGAATGTGTATATATATTAAAAATAAACAACAGTAGTGCGACACAATATAGCCTACAAGACAACATGTACAAAGAATATAACATCAATTTTCTATAGAGTAGAAGTGCATATAACTTTACACTCAATTTTCGCCAGTTATGTAATCAAGTCCTATAAAAAGAGGAAGAGATACACCATACAACAGGCTTAATAAGCAATAATTCAAATTACTTTTACAACGAAACTACTTTTAATAAGGTTGTCTAAAGAGGCTTTATTGTAGGTAAATAAATGTATAAATAGTTTATATAAATATATATAATGTATTTAAGGAGAGAACATAAGACGCTGTGCATGTATCTATGTATAAGCAGTGACGCAGGCGTTCAGCGTACATTAGTTGAAATGTATTTTATTAACCTTGGCGCCTTATTCTTGACTCGAGATCGCCAAGCAGGGCCTGAATGGTGTAAATACCTGTTTCATATTAAATTTGTTAACGGTACTAACAATATTTCTGTGTGAAATGTAGCATATCATAATAAATAGGGGTTTTACTTAAATAAAAATAATAATTTAAATCTAAATATAATGTGAAACACTCCTTAATGGGACTAAATACTTATGTATAAAACTAAGTTATCTATAGAAATGGTAACTACTGATTTTGCACATCGTAGATGATCATCCTAGATCCCACATTCATGTTTCTTCTATAATAAGGGATGACATGGAATAGTACATTGACTGTTTAAAATATTGTTACCACTTTAAGTATATATAAGCGACACTAACATGCTTATATTTTTAAACGACGGCTTGTTTCTTGTTATTAAACCTCATTTTACTACCTGTCTGGTTGATATGATTGCTATAATGCTTACTGAATTACACACGCATGAGAAATAACCCAAAGGTTTTATATTAAAAAGTATAACTGAAAATGATTTTTGAAAAAGAATTTCGTTCGCAAGATGTGCGTTATCCGTCGTTTAAAAGTTGAAGATACTCGTTGATAATACTATTACGAAGTATTCGTCCAATACTATACATATAGAGACTAAAGTTATTTGGTGCGCAGATAAGAAAAAAAAAATGATTCAGAGCAGAAACTTTTATTCATTTTTCTTCAAAGAATATTCTGTTACGATAACTAAACAAAAACGCCAAACTGCTCAGTTTGTTCGCGCAAGAAAACACCATTAATTTGCTCTCTGTACTTATTCAACCTTTATTTTCTTATATATGGCCTTTCATAATGACTTGGCTCCCCTATTTTGTAGCCTACAATATACTTATTACTACTAGTAGTATGTATATTATACTCACATCAACTGACTGCGTATACTGGTCCATCATATTCTTACTGGCATCCAACTCAGCTAGCTGTTTCACAACTACATCGGCTACGTTCTTTTCTGTTATGTCGATTTTCTCCCTGTAAATAGCGATATGGAGGGTGATGAGTAGAGCATTGGTGTAGCAATGGTCTTTTTTGATGATATATGATGTGATTTATTTAGTTTCTTAGGTCAAAAATAAATTAATTCGATGTTTCAATAGAATGAAATGTTAAAAAATAACTAAGTTTACTTGTATTTATCAATCTGTCGATACATTTGATGTTTTTAGCGAATTTTTAAGAAATAAGTAAGCTATTTGACGCAAACATAGTATGATGTTGTAATTTGGTTTTTTTTTTACAAATCTTGTAGAAAAGTATAGTTAGTAGAAACTATTGTATTTGTGGTTGCCAACGACATGTAGTAAAATTATGCATTAAATTGTAACATTTATTTTGTTTTTGGACGTATAGAATATAGGTTAAATTGTACAGGAGCCTTGGGAAGGTCATTTTAACGATTTTTATATTTGACAACATTGGTGCCTTATAAGGTTGAATTTTACTTCCAAAGAACAACATTTTTTATGAGAGTGAGGGTGTGAATGTTGAATACGAAATCTAGTATCAGTTTGGTGTCACGAGAGGCAAAAAATATGAGTATGTCTTATGGAGGAGTGGGTAAGTACCGTAGCGCGGCGGCGAGTGTCTCGGCGCGCGAGTCGCCCGCGGCGGCGGCGGCGGCGGCGGCGGCGGCGAGGGCGCGCAGCAGGGCGGACAGTCGCGCGTCCACGCACAGCGCGCGCGCCAGCACGGCGCCCCGCGCGCGCGCCCGTCCCTCCTCCATGCGCTGCCGCGCGCAGATGGCCGCCGACAGCGCGCGCAGCGACTCGCGCTCCGACACCGACGCCGACTCCGCCTCTGGGGGCACAACTTATAATGTCAACCAAAGAAGCTCTCAAGTCCACATGATCCGTTACACAAATATCAATCAGTCAACTTCACTACACATTCCGTGACAGACAGATAGCGCACGGTGACCTACCGCTTCGAGCGTCTTTTATGAAATAAGCACGGTCTAGACAACAATTGGGTTGTTTTCTCAGTACAATACCCAATCAAATTCAAAGAATAATCATATCATATTCATTTATTAATTTTACGATATGAATACGCAATATCCGTGTATTTTTGACAATTCAAAAGAAATAAGTATGTTATTATATTGAAGCCTAAGAATTTGACGTCAATGTACTATTTCAGAAAATTATAAGTTTTGACATAACAATAAAAAAAAACAATTTGACAACTTAGCAATTACCAGATTAATGTCAAATAATAAAGAACGAAAACTTATAGTGTCTCACCTTTGTCATCCACATAGAAATCTCTCTCAGGTGACAATTCGTCACCGCTCCACGCACCCGCCCCTTCAGCGCCTGACCACCATTCTTCAGCGCAGTCTGAACATAAGAAATATAAATTACAATTAGCTTTAGTATAAGAACAAACTTCAATCCAATTTTAAGTATCATGTTCGAGTATTTACATATTTATGTTATTGAGAACTTAGTTCGTAAAATATAATAGGTTAGGGTTGATTTTCCAGTAGTCAGATAAATGTAATCTAAGGAATAAAATTGTTGCTGTCACTGTCTTATACGAACATTCTGACGCGACAGCATCATTATTCCCCAGATACCTTTTATCTAACCATTGAAAAATCAGCCCTAAAATTAAATTATGTGTATTAATTATGTGTATACATAGTTTGTCTGTCGGATCAAAAGTTTAATTATTTATTAAGAGTTTTGTCGGAAATTTTTATAAGTTCATCGTAAAACTTAATAAAAAGTAACTGTTTGATAAATAAATAAATCTATACTAATATTATAAATGCGAAAGTAACTGTGTCTGTCTGTCTGTCTCTTCTTTACTCCTAAACGAAATTTCGTACAGACATAGTTTATAACTCGAGAAAGGACATAGGATAAATAGGAATTCCACGCGAACGGAGTCGCGGTCAATAGCTAGTGAATAATAAATATTACCAGGGTCAGTAACGAGACAGGGTTCAGTTTCGGAGTCTAGTAGATCGGCGGAGTTGTCATTATCGTCGGAGATGTGTGAGCGATCGTCGTCACGTGGTTGCGGGGGCGCGGGGGGCGCGGGCGCGGGATGTGCGGGCGCAGGGGGCGCGGGCGCAGGGGGCGCGTCGTTCCGCAGGGCGCGCGCCACGTTGGCCAGCAGGCCGCCACCCGTCACCTCCTCCTCGGGGGACAGCGCCTCGCCACTGTCGCTGCGACTGCAATTGTAACACATAATTGTTATTATTCAGTACAGTTTTAAAGTGTGGGAGAGCCATGTTTCGGCACGAATGGGTCAGCTCGACCGAAGTGATACCAAGGTTTTAAAAACCGGCGTGCAACAATCAAATCGTTGTATTCCGCTGTGTGAATGAAGTTATTGAAGGCCCAATATTTCCCCTCCAAAATTTCTAAATCTCCAAATCCTCAATCACCAAAAGGTTGGCAACGTAATAAATGCAACTTCTCCGCAACTTGTTGCAGGTGTCCATGGGTGGTGTTGATTGCTTACCATCAAGTAATCCAGCTGCTCGTTTGCCAAATTATCACGAAAAGAAAAGTTTAATTAATGTGTTGTTAGTTGTAGGTACTACGCACAGAACAGGAAATAAAGTAGAAGTGCCCCTACACTCTTTCAAAAGGAAAACCTGTGTCGCCAAAATCACACATTCGCAAATCAAATTATCCATTACACACATAAAAAACAGCTATATAATTGGGTAAAAAGTTGAAACGCAACTTTAGCAAATCATCTTCTAAATGTTGTTAAAAATTGAGTCTTATAACAATGAGCGAAAGTTGTTATCATTTCACATGCCACAATCAATAAAGGCGTCTATCGTGTAAAAAACTTAAATAAAACTATTTACAAACGGGTTCAGCCACTCAATGCTAGATGGCGCTGTAACAAATTCATTCTATTCAAAACGCTAACCTCTTTGAAATAGATGTCATATTTGTATGCACTTGTACCAATAGACATTACTATTTTGCTACTCAGATAGGGCAAGGTATCCCAATATATCGATATTATTTATTGTATTCGTGTGAGCAATATAATTTATCGACACGATATACCTACAAATGATCAGTAATGAAAAAGGTTCTAATAGAAAAAAAAGAAATTTTAACATTTTTTGAAGATTTAATGTTTTTTGGAGATGGTCAAGTTAGTATTAAAGATTTCGATTTTAACATATAAAAGCACTACGCGCTCCTACAAGTTTTATCTCCTTTCCAACAAATATAGAATTATTAAAATCGGTTCATAAATAACAGAGATGAACGAACAAAAAAACATGTACGGTCGAATTGAGAGTCACTCTCCTTTTTTACAACATTATAAAATAAAAATGGTGATTAACCAGCCGCACCTACCGCAGACGGATACATGCTGTGTGTGGTTAAAACGTTGATGTGTCTATGCAATCTTAGTTAAACATTTATGAATCATACACAAAAATTGACAAAAATCAATTTTCTAAACGATGATGATGAAAAATTATCGATACGAACCTAATTTACGAATGTGTCCCATCCCTAAATGAGTAGCGTCGAAACTACTAGAATGCATTGTATATAACGTCACATAACGAACAAGTAGATTTAAACTTAATTGTAATGAAAATAAGGTCCTTTATAGTTTGCATTGAAGTAATGAAATTTGATATTTACATTAAAATCAAATATATTTAAAATTAACAAAGGTTAATACTCAAAGATGATACGATACACCACCACAAGACACATATTTTTTTCTGCTTACTTTTTTGCAGTTGAAAACCGCACAACAAGGCATAATTTCTAATATATTTCCTTATATTTCGTGTTTCTTAGAGACAACCATGACAACCAATCATGACAACGGAGCGAACGATTCTGACAACGAATGTGCCAAAATGTTGTAAATCTACACATCATGTTGACTAGCGCGCGATGTCTGAGCGGCATTTCCACTGTATTTTCTATTCCGTGGTACTACGTACCATATTTGCGACGGATTTTTTTCGTAACAAGATGGAATAGTAAAAGTGTGATATGTACCTGTATAGTTCGTTGTGGTAGACGGTGGGCTCCTGGTCGGGTGGTAGCGTGTATGCGAGCCGCACGGCGCGCGTGAGGCGCGACAGCCGGAGGGCGAGCGCGTCGAGCGCGGAGAGCGCGCGCGGCGGGGCGGCGGGCCCCCCGCGGCCGCGCGCCGCCGCCGCCGCCGCCAGCGCCTCCTGCCGCCGCTGCTCACACATGCGGACCAACTGCCGGCACTCCGCGCGTCTGTACACACACACACACATTTATTTATTTATTTATCACCAACATACAACTATTATCACAGGAGTTTCCTAATACAATAGTGTAGTAACATTATAAAGAAATACATAAAAACAATACCAAGAAACCTTACATACTAATTATAAAATAAAATTACATAAACTTTCCTATATTTAACAACTTAATCTACCATGGAAGTTATTCTATATGCGGTCCGAGTGAATATCTTAGCATCTATACTAATACTAGCCGTCCCTCCCTGATAACCTCACATATCAAATTTCAGCGAAATCGTTAGGGCCGTTTCCGAGATCACATGCTTTTTCAAGCAATCAGTGCCCATCTGCCTGGCTGATTTATAAATCTAAACCATCCAGAACGCCACTGTTTGAGTCAAAAGCCAATCAAGCCCTTTAGGTGGAGCGTGAGGGATTGTCAAACTCTTACTGATTAAAAACCCCCTTTCCTTCTGTTCTAGTTCAAAGCCGCAGTGCCTCATTGAGATGGCCCGCAACCCCGACTAGAATAAAGTGACCTCTTCTCATTAAACTCTGTGCTTAGTCATTCTATTGACATATAATCGACACATACAAAACAAAATCGACACCAAATTGTAAATTTTTGTAGTAATCGATATAAATATACTAGACATATATGTATAATATACATTTTCATCTTGAATAAAGTTTACCTTCGTTCCAAATCAGCGTTGACCCGAACGAGTTCAGCTTCAGCTTCTCGCAAAGAGTCGCTGAGCGCGCCAGTCTCGGCGGCGAGGAAGTCCTGCATCTCTGCAGCCTCGCGCTCGGCCTCGGCGAGTCGGGCCTCGGCCAGCCGAGCGCTCTCGCGGGCACCGCACGCCTCCTGTACAATAACCGCCATTTGAAACATACTGTCTCGTTTCTTTTATGTCAAACTTCAGCCAACGAGCAGGCGAATTACTACTCCCATGGACACTCGTAGTGCCAAAAGTGTTTCTACATGTGCGTTACCGGCCTGAATTGGGTTATTAGGGAGTTAAGGAGATTTGGATTGAAGATGAATGGAGGGGAAAAAATTAAGCCTTCGATAACCTCACTCACACGGCGAAACACAACGTAATTCTTAACTTTATTCGTGCCGAAGCATGATTCTCCCACATTTATATAGGTCACTTTTTGATACGTTTAAGATCATCATAGTTTTTGTTAGTGTTATAATATTAGGTCCAGTAGACGTGGACATAAACCCAGTAGGTATTTTGTCATAATTGCTTTATCATTACCATGTTGGATATCTATTTATTTGTTGATCAAACAAAGCGTAGTTCTGTGCGGCAATTGAATCCAGGACACGTTGTGCGGCAGCCGGTTGCCCAGCCATCGCACTAACCGTGCAATGCATTTGAAGTAGTGTAGAGTTTAATGAAACTCAAGTAAAGTATGTATATTTAGCATATTACGGTAAGGTTAGATTTTTTATGGCGTAAATCGGTAAACGAGCTAACTATTACCTGATGGTAAGCAATCGGCGCCGCCCATGGACACCCGCAACACCTAAGGAGTTATTAGGGCGTTGCCGGACTTTTGGGGATAAGGGTTGCGGATATTTAAGGATTAAAATATAATAAGAATACTCACAACGTGGAGCTTATTGCACTGTTCCCGCAGTACATCTATCTCGGCGCTCTGCCGGGCCGCCAGCTCGCCCGCGGACCGCAGTTGTTCCTCCAGCGCTCGGAGACAGCCGTCGGCTCCAGCGCCGGCGCCTGGTAACAGAATCAAATTACATATTTAGTTTTTTTTTAAGGCCCTCACTTAGATTTTCTCCTGTGTTGTGGGAGCGTCCACAAACATACACAAATCACCCAGACCCGAAACCATTGTAAATCCCACAAAGTGTTGTTCCGTGTGGGAATCGAACCCAACACACGTTGCACAGCAGCCAGTTGCCTAGCCACTGCGCCAACAGTGCAGTCAAAAGTTAAGTATTATTTAGTTATAGAATCAAATTATTTAGTATAAAAGACGCCTAACGCTCAATAACAGCTTGTATCGAATGCAAAAATATTAAAATGATATCGATTTTTTACAAAACCCTGAGAAATCTGTTTTGAAAAGAGATTTATTAATCTATTTCTCTTATTAAAAATGATGGCTTTTAAATATATACTTTATCAATATTATTTAATGTAAACAGTTTGTTTAAGGGCACTTATCTCAGGAACTACTGGTTGGAATTGAAAAATTATGTTTTCGTTTATCGAGGACGGCTTTAGCTATTATACCTAACATTACGCTACGAAAATACGAATCCGGAGAAACCGCGTGGCAGCTAGAGTTGGTATAAGATCTGATAAACTCAATGAAACCTTTGACAATCATGTTTATTCAGGTGTTGCCGTATTTTGATATAATTTTTTATCAAAACATTTATCCTTGCAAAAAGAATTGTAAGAAAGAATTAACTTTTTTTTTCAATAGTATCACATTTTCGTGTTCGACCAAATCATTTCGAAAGAGGTCTTATTTATACTTTACGTATGTATTTCCTCTCAATGGCTGTTAATTATTTAGTTTCAAAATCCAGCAAAACGTTCAACGACATTTAAAAAGCCAATTAAAAATATAATTTAAATTTTCAGATTTCTGTATATTTATCAACAATCACCATGACATATAAAGAGGTCGTATATTAATTAGCGCGCGAATTAAACCGGAATTGATTGGCGTAAGGACTACTCGTAGTAAGGTGTTGACCCCAAAGACCTTTAAAACTGAGGTCATAAAATATTTTCGTAGTTTATTTGGTATTAAGTAGACATGGTTTACACCACCATTGTGAACCATGATGAATTGGGTAGTTTCCTAGGTCAAAACAAATTAATTCGACGTTTCAATACAATGAAACAAAAAAAAACTAAATACTTTTATTATCCAAATGTCAAAAATACATTTCTATGACGATGGAAAACTGAGTTATGACGTCATAGTATTTTTGCGTCAAATAGCTTAGGTACTTATTTCTTAATAATTAGCTAAAAAATATCTAAAACTTACTGTATCGATCGATCGATGAATAAGAGTATAGTTATTTTTCAATATTATATTGTACTGAAACGTCGAATTAATTATTTTTGACCTAGAAAACTACCAAATTCTCTAAAAGTACTGAAAAAATTCTTTAGGATATCTGTTAATACCGAACTGTGATTGTGATTTGAACTGTAATTGAGACTTGAGCTGTTATTTACCCCGCGAAAACGATACCAGGCACCTAATGACATAACAGGCTGTTTTATGTAAACTCTGACTGTGAATTGAACTGTGATTGTGATTCGAGCTGTTATTTACCCGTCAGATCAACTGTTATTTGTAATAACTTACTTGTCCCCGTGGGAACAACTGTTATATAGTATTTTTGGGATATCTGTTACTTGTATATGTTTTTTTGTCTTCTCTCGCATTGGGTGGGGTGAGAAAAAGTGTCAGATTGTTACCTACTGATTAAAAACCACGTCATCCCTGCTTCTGCTACAGACTGGAGCCACGGTTTGTTACTTATGTATGTGACGATACATATAAGATATGCTTCACGGTTATCGGCGTTCTCAAAAAAGTAGTATAAAATATTTATAAAATAAAAAAATAAAAAGTAGTATGTAATATACAAATAAGAATAGGACCTATATAAAATATTATTTTACTATATCTATAGTGGTCACAGGGTTGTTGATGAACTAATTTGAATAAATGAGGTCAGATTCCGCTCCTGTTTACAGAGCAGTTATAACGTATTTCTGGGTACAGTTACAGACTTCATCTACCCAGTTTAGTGCTAATTATGAAGACTGTTTTATGGATGTTTTGATTAAATATTATTATCTTTTCCTTATTAGCTAGCGTAACACCAATTCTTGCTGTAATATTTCCATTTTCCGGTACAGATATTCTTATAAACCGAAGTATGAAAACATACGTTCCATTTTTGATTATAATGTGACCCAATATAAAAACAAAACAAAGCAACTCTTTACGCTTGCTACATTATACGCTTGCAAAGACTTTCGATGTGTCACGTGAGCATTGTTGCTTACACAAAAGCCATATGACATTCATGTACTTCACATTTAGCTCTATATTCTAGTAGATATTCTTTACATCTGCTTCTAAACACGGCCAGGGTATCAAATTAAGATTGCTTTATTTTAAGTTACTTTATAGTTTAAGTACTTATATATTGTTTAACAATGGGATCAGTCTGTAGGGCAAAGAAATCTGCTATGGAAAAGATTTGTATGCGCTATTATTCGGAAACAAGTCAGACAGCTACAAACCTTATACACTAAATATAATGCTATAGGAACTTACCAGCGCCAGCGAGTTCTAACAGCCTCTGTGAGTTGCGGTCCAGCTCTGCGATGGCAGCGAGCCGTGCCGCCCGCTCCGCTGCAAGCTGAGCCTCGGCCCGCTGCCGCCGCTCCCGCTCCTCCGCGGCGGCCGCCAGCGCATTCGCCAGCCGTGCTGCTTCAGTATCCCGCGCGCTCGCCTGCACGCCTCGGTGACAGCGGGATACTTCCACATGACTGGAAAGTGGAACAGATTTTTCATCAATTACCATCAACAAAAAATACACACGTCCTTGGCTTAAGCAAGCCAGGATAACTTATTTAGCAAAAAGTTTTACTCGTAATGAGTAACTTACTTTTCAATATTTGGCACTATCCCAGCCAACGCTGACTCGATGTCGGTGCCATTCAGCACTGTCTGCGAGGTTTTCTCGGCGTAGATGCGTACCCGTGTCTTGATGGTGGAGCGTGAAGAAGCTGACCGTGTCACGGTTGGACGTCTCGACGAGGGAGGAGTTCCCTCGTGTTTAGGAGATCCATCAGGTTCCGCATCACGTCTTCTACGAGGTAGTGTCGCATATTTATCGGCTGTCGCTCTCGTGGCGTTTACATCGGCTACTGTCGTCAACCGCGGTCCATTGGCTGGCCATCTTTTTTCTTCACTTGGCGAGTTTGGTGTCCGGCACCGCGCTGTCGAGGTTTTGGTAGGCTTCGCACGTAACGCGGGGCTCTCGCGTACAAGATTTGGCAAGTCAGCTGTAGGCCGTATTCGTGGTTTAGGTGTCAGTGGTCGCGGCTTTTCAGGTGGTGTTGGTTTCTCTCGACTCCTAGCACGTTCACGGGTGGCCAGGTTGGGGCCGCGAGGCGCCGTTACGGGTCGTGGCGCTCCCGAGCTGACAGGTGAGCTTCGTTTTGGCTCAGCGACGTTGACATTGACGCGTCGACGTGGACGCGGCGGTGCGCCGGCAAGTGATGAGCTCTCAGACCCACAACCAGAGCCACACGAGACCACACTAGAGGCGCACGACCTGGACCCCCCGCCACTACTGAGCGCACGACCGCAGCCTTCGACTCCACTGTCACTGCCAGCGGCGCCAAGAGCCAGTTCGTCTGCCACTGGCAAACTATCTAGGTCACCCAACGACCTTGCATCATCATTTGGTTCGGTGGGCTCTTGCTCAATGAAAAGTTCCTTGAGTGGCGTGGTGCCTTCCGTATTTATTGTGTCAACACTCACTTTGCACTCTTCTTTTTTAATTTCACTTTCGCTTTCATCATTACATTTATTATCATCACTCCCGTCTTTATTATCTACATTTGTAACATTAGTGGCGAGGCTGTCTCCTTCGGGCTTTGTTTCAGTACTAGGAACATCTTCAGTTGTCTGTGTGTTGACAGTCAGCTGGCCGGCCTCGCCGGGGCAGGCTGTGCTCTCCTCTTCCATGGCAACTTGATATCACATGTTCTGTAATAAAACAAAAGGAGTTTGAGTGATTAACGTTGGTTGGTGAAGCATCGGAGCGCGGTAATCAGTTCGGTGCAGCGGTATTGCCAGTCCGTACTCTATTGTGCGCCGGTCCTTGGGCACGGCTGCACTGGCGCAATCTCGAGGGAGCTTATTGCTATTGTTCCTGGTGTCGCCCATTCAACGACTGTCTATTCTGAAATAACTGTTACATGAACAATACTAAGTCTATATAAACATGTATAAAATATTATGATGGCGCGATTAAATGGAATCGCGATGAAAATATTTATACAAACAGCTTACGTATGTAACAAGGTTCACGGCTTTAACACAGGTTTATGGCTTCACTTTGCGTTCGCGTCCGTAAAAATACTTGTCCGACTACGTTGAAATCTTGTACAAGGCATTCAACTACATAAAAGCTGAGAAGTGGTCTCGGTAAAAAGTTAGGTATCAGAATATCAAATGGTGAAACGAACAACAATGAGCAAAACCTATCGCCGTATTGTGTAGCGGCTACGGAGTACAGAATTGTTCTCATGACCGGGCCTCCGCTCGGCCTCGCCTATTCATTCTATCTAGGTGCAATCAAACGCTTTGCGTCAGGGTTTCAGAAAGAAATATCTTCCCATGGAGGTACAATACTCGATATTCGTGACAGAAGGCAGTAAAATTATTTTATTGGTACAATGCCTTCGTGGAAATCGTCTGTAACAGAAATATCTAGTTCAGAAAATATCAGATTTTATTGTAGAAGTATTTAAATCGTCGACCGATAACATTGATGTGATTGCTCATACTTCAACAAACGGCTGTTGATGTTGTGTTGGGCATTCGGTCTTGATACGTTATCAGCTGTAGGTTTAGCAAGAATGCCAATATATATTAGAAATATACCTACACTACACTTAGATCCACCCACCTACTCACTTACATGAAGGTACATACTTGAGTGATAACATCAAACGCGTAAAATCACGAGACGGAAAGAACAATATTAATGCAGTTAACAATAACGAAACATTCCATAGTAGTTGTAGAAGAATTTTATACGTCAGTAGTGTATGTCATTGAATCTAAAAAGTATATAAACTCAAGCAAAATTACTTACGTACTTACTTCTTAGAAATGTTTCCACTAATTTAAAGACTTAAAGAACTAAATGAACACGTTCTGTGTAGTTTCGATATTGATATAGATTTATGATAGCACAAGTCTGAACATAAGTGTTTTTGGTTGTTATCTAAAATTGGAAAATACTGTATTCTTTTGTTTTAATGATAAATAAATAAAAAGTTATGAGTGTTAAGAAAAAGTATAAAATGAACAAAGTTTTATGTCGGCGTAATACACAGAGCTATTTCCTTTCTATAATACGTATCAATGTGCACATAGTCGAGTATGGTGGCCATACAATCCATACATGTAGCCCAGTGGGGATACGGGAACCGGGTCATTGTACTGCGATTTGCTGGGGGCATCAAGGCGTACCATTCAAACACTGAGAGCTACGACCACCTATACTACAAGTTCATTATTCAATTTGTCACGGTAATCATGTACGCGACGCGCCGTCTACGAGCCTACCGATAAACATACCGAGGTTTATTTTTATACCGTCAGTACAACAGACTTGTTGCTAGTTAATTAATCTAGAAAGGCCACGGCGAAGGCCCAAAGTCGTTGCCTCGCGTTAGAAAAAACAGACGTGGGCTGTGGGATGAGTAATATCTTGAGTATAATGCGCACAAATGAAACGGTCCTTATGCTAAGTTGAGTGCAGAAATGATAATGATAAAACAACTTAATAAGCACGCTCACATCAAAATTACCATCTTCAATTTCCACTTGAGTGACTTTCTTGAATCACGTTCAAAATACAAACAAGCTGTCTATTCGTGTACTTGATATTCTGGAGGGGCTTATTGCGCCACGCCAGAAACGGAGCACGTAGACATAGCTTTTTTACCTCGAGAAAACATTGAATTTCTTTTAGAGGTGAAGGTAAAAGTACTTAATCAACTATTCCATCAACGTTTTACGATACGAATATTATCATTCAGTATTTATTCGATGGATTATTGGGCTATAACTTACGGAGATAGAACGAATGTGTTATAAAAGCGAAAATAATCTTTATGGCTTAACCATAATGGTCACCATCTGGGGCTGTATTTTCACTTCCATCATCATTCAATATCTATCAGATACTGAAGTACCGTTTGGAAAATAAACAGAATTCACAACTTTAAATGTTTAAAATTCAAAATGATTACTATGGGATTCGTAAAAACATTGTTTTACAAAATAATGGAGGCTCGTATATTTTACGCTAAAATGGGTGTCGTGGGAAAGTTTAGCTCGTACATGTCCATAACCTTTAGAATTGAGTACCACAGTAAAATTTGACGATTCCTACCGTACTTAAAGTCCGTTACCTATCCCTTTCTTGTTTGTCTCGGTGAGAGGTGACATCAATCGATACATTCGCAATATATTACAATACAATTATTCCCTAGATATGCCAGGTATTACACTGGAATCCATCTCTGGGCTTTAGTTCAATTAATATAGGTATAAATCTACATAACTTAAATCTAGGTTAATGCAGGCAATTTGTAAATGCGTGCCTACGAAACTGCCTACAAATGTACGAGTCAGCAGTACTCAAAGCAAATTACACTTGCGTCATAAAAAAGCCTACGTTTCGTAAGAATATACGACGCGATAATATAAGACATATATCCAAATTCATGATATTCTACAAAGGTATAGTAAAAATAAATCTTTATCTCTACTCCGGATAAACATTTAGATAGTCAAAAACAAATGTTTAAAAATACATCAAAGTTTCAGTTGCGTGTTTAAATCGTTTGGGCTGCCGTAACGTGTTTGGAAGCAATGTCCAATGCAAATGTGGCGGCAAGAAATATGGAAATTTAAAGAAACGATATTCAATCAAAGGCGGCGTCGTTAACACTGACAATATTTTTGTAAAAGCAATTTATCGGGATATACCTAAAAAAAAATTGAATGACATCGCTACCTTATAAGTAAAGAGGCATTTCTATTTACGATATTCAAATTGCTATAATCACTGTCATAAAATAGATTTACATGGCAAATTTTATTTGACCATCCACATTTTTTCTTGTAGCGTTTTCTATATAGAAATATTTCTGGCATGGTTTTTTTTTTATTAAATCCCTGTGTTATGTTCCGTGATTACTGTTACGAATTGGTATGTTAAATCCCGTCCTTCTTATAAACTCATATGTGGATTTTAGGCAGTAAATGCTCATTAATAATTTGCAATTGACCTTTACGCATAAAGCATGATGGACAATGATCTTTAATCCCGAAATTTGTATGAAAGCAAATTGAACGTTACCCAGTCTATAATGTACTTGAATAAGGTCGAAACTTCGGTAGCTACTTGTGAAAGGGATTCTGCGGTTGACACATTGACAAGCTCTTCTTCGAATGAGTTTGTAAACATTTTCCCATTGATTGACACTACAGTAAGTACACACACTGTCATCAATCATGTCACGTTATTCAGCGGAGGTTCTCACTAACTTAGCATAAAAAGTCATGCAGTGCTTAACATCGGCTGAACATCTAGACAACACGTACTGCATAAATATTCTAACCTGGAAACAAAAGCGCTATATATATTTTATAAACAATATGTAAAAAGTAAAACCTACCTATTTGTTAAAAACCTACCACGATGCTAAGAATAAGTACAAGAAAATTACTGTTGAGCCATTAAACTGCTTTAGGTACTTCTTTATTACGTACGAAATTAAAACTTATGTAATTATAATGCTGCAGACGTGGTACAATTAGTTCTTTCCTTTGAAAAATGTATGGTAAAGTACGCAAGAACTACTGCATCCAAGATCCAGAAGTAATGGATATTATTTTAATATACATAAACAGGATGTTAGAAAATTATGGCGTAATTGCGACACAGTTTTTTGCTGAAACATATATTATAATTAAGTAACGTACATAAATGATAGGTTAGCGTGCGTTGAAATAAAATAAACAACAACAGATGTGGAACACAAAATGAGCTCAACAAATCATTCTAACTTAGCACAGACCTTGCAGTGTGGATATGTGAAAAAAATAAGTTGTAGAACTTGATTGCAATGACTGGCAACTCCGTCATTTCACGATTTGAATTACAGATCGGTACCTGGCAAAGACCTCGATAAAGCGAGGGATCTAAAAGAGAACAAAATAAAAACGTATTTTTTATGAAACAATGGAATTTGTTTACGTAATTATGTATCTAAGCATTTTTTACAAAACTTTTTACTATACAAAATGTTGTGTAGTAAAACTACGTAAAGTACTTTAGGTAGGTACTAAAAATAATTGACAATCCGAACATGATTTACTAACTTACTTCCTTTTCTATACTTTGACGTAACGTATCGACATTCAACAGACGTAATTTCATGTAATATCCTAGAATTGTGATTCGCTCTTAAATCAAATTGCAACAGGACACTATAAAAAATGGCGGCCATTTTAGAATCGTGCAATTGGCACGTCCTTCCGTGTCATAGGTGGACGAGGCAAGGTCGTTACACCGGCTTCGCTACAGACACATTCATGATTTGCCAAGTTTTTATACATGTTTTGTAAACCAAACACCGGGACCGGTAAATTGACCGAAACTACATCATCACCGAATATAGTTTTTGATTTATTTCGACATGGTGTATATTAATATAAAATGTTATAACTAGTGAACATGTGCGCATAAACCAATAGTTATTTTCATTAGCACTCTTGGTTTTTTACCTGAAAATGCACTTAGGTAGGGGCAATGGCGGCTTGAACAAATATGTAATATTTTTCAGTAGTTTTTTCGGAGTCAGCAGATAACAAACAGACGTCACTTAAGTGAAACATGCCCAAAATACTTTTTCGAAAGCAATCTGTTCAGTAACCTTTAGTTTATTTATTACCGGTGTCTGTGTCCAAGCATAAAATTATTATGTTGGCCATAACAGGACTTAGGGCTTGGCCCTCGTCCCCCAGGGCTCGGCGCATTTACAGCTAATGCCTTGTCGTTCATCGCTGAAGTACCGATACGTTTAATGTACATTTTATGAGCTGATGCTAAACAGATATGTTTAATTTAAAGCCAAGCCCAAAAACTTTACAATCGATTAATCTTTTGTCTGACGATTTCTTCGAATGGATCTCAAAATAAATTGGAAAGTGGGTGCTGCATTTATAGGATAGACTTACTCATACGAGTTCCTTTGTATTGTTTTAACATAATTTATGTGCTTCACAATAGGATAGCAGTTGCATGACATAGCTACGTCAACAACATAAGTAAAATATTTGTAATTATCAATAAGATATTTTGCATAATTATTAAGAAATAGCATTACCTTTCTCGTGTGTTTAGGCATGTCGTATTGTAATTATATGTCATGTATTTATAGATACAACAACAAAAGGTCGATTGTAGTGTAACCCTTTCATTCTACCATTAGCGGATCAGACAGGGCGGGACCGGAAACACAGGGCTCCGTGTAGCGCCAGACCAGACATATTACGTGTGTAAACATAGTTAATGGAAAAAGTGCAGAATTTATTAAAATCTTTGTAAGCGGCTTCTCTTTTTATTTACCTAGTAATAAAAAAAATTCAATTTTTGCAATTGCAATTACATGTAATGTGTAAAAAATAACCTCTTTTATATAACGTTAACTATGATAAGTGTCATATGCCAGAAGCGAACACACTTTAGCCAAGTTTTATCGACAGTTTCAACCAAAGACAACATCTTGTTAGAAATTAGCAATTAAAAATTCCATTCCTAAATCGAATACTGAATAGTTTCCTCAGTATTCCGGCTATTGTCAGGTTCCACTTTCCAAGGAACTGGCTGGCGATACCGGAGGCCGGTGCTCTCGTCTCGTCTTTGGCATAGTGAGTTTCTGGTTTTAGGCAGAACCACTACTACGGGACTTTCACGACAATCCAGGAAGACTCGTTTGCGTTGAGATGCAGATGGTGATAATTACTTCTGTTCTGATTCGAGTAATACAACTAGAATACTAATTTTTAATTAAGGCATTAGGCTTAAGGTCATAGTCGGATATGGAACATCGTGACGATAAAATATGAAAAGATTTTATCTTATAAAACTACACTTATGTACAATATAACAATGTTTGAAAATTAATAAATGATTAGATTTACAAATGTTTTTCTTACGTAGAGTTACTTAAGTATAGGTACGAACTTATATTAGTTACAACAACATACAACTATTTATATGTTATTAATCTCATAGTAATAAGGGGTTATTATCAGCCTTCCATTTAGATACAATTGCGAAAAAACCCAACAAGACTTCGAAAAAAAACAAGTTAAAAATCACACGTGCTTTTGTTTCGTTTTTCCTTTACCAAATAAATTCGATTAGTTACAGATATTCATTCGTTTATTAAGTTGTGTTTATCATCAACTATTTATAGTTTGGCAGTGAACTTTACATACATACATACGTACTATATGTACATAATAACAATAATCGCGTGTCTAATAAGTGTACCTTTCAAATGTTTTGTTTCAACAAATAGTAGTAATTTAAGTATCACATATTTTAGGTCACACACGTAACCTAGAGCTATCCAACAATATTGTAGTATAGCTATGACCTGTTTCTAAATTGAATGCCTGAGTGGGGAAGCATTATTATAATTAGCCGTATAAAAATAAAATAATAATATGTTTATTTTTCTCTCAATGAAAAAATAAATCCTTCAATTTCTAATTTCAAAACTTTTTGACATAAAATCAATTAAAAAAAAATACAAATAAGAAAATGTTGTCTATGTTCGTGCCAAAAAAAATCCGATACATAAACATTTTTTTAAATTTTAATTTGGAATAGGTGCCGCATTCTGGTTGTTGTTGTTTGAACTTTTAGGACAAACTCTCTTTGTATTATTATTTTGACCCATAAATTGTATTCATGTCTTACTCTGTCGATTTCGTCTGCCCTACAAGCACAATAAGCCCCGTGCCATTTAACGACCCCTATGACATTACAGAATCTGATATCACCCCTATAAATGCACGTTATGTATTCAAAAACCAACCTTAACTACCAATATTATTAGGTTGATTTTATTTATAAAACATTTAATATGACATTGGACATAGGTACTAATTAAAGGCACGAGAGCTTTTTTAGAAAACAATAATTGTCTGTAGCAATAAAATGTTAATATTTGTCTGTGGACTGTTGTACGTGTAAAGGGGAGAAAATTCTTAATTACGCACGAGTAATGAACTTTAAATGAATGAGTCTGGCTGTCAAGTGAGGCAAAATAAAAACAAAAATCTTCCTAACACGTGTTAAAAAAAACAAACACGATTATTATTCATTCTGTTAAAGATCTTTGTTTCATGGGTTTATTTCGTGCTATCAATACTATTTTTTCCTTTAGTGATACATACCAGTACCTAAGCAGTTTGTTCAGCTATTAACTTCAATACACTTTATAGTAGACATATTTATTGCTAAGCTTAGCAATTCTTAATTCAAAAATAGTTTTCAAATATAAAAAAAGAAACTTAAAACATTTGAAAATCGAATAAATTCCAAGAACCGCAGTTACGGATATTGAACAGTAACCATAAACAAAGTATACAATTGCATAGTCATAGACAAGGTGAAGGCTGAATGCGCAAAATCATGGCGTGCCAAGTTCAAATATTTGTATAATCGTGGTACCACGGAATGTTGTCCTAGTCGACAGTTTTATTGTTCCTATAAACACTGATTCCCCTATACTGGCCACCCTCGCTCTCTGACTACACACGACGAATGCTAAATTGCTTACTTATATTACATTGATTTTTTCGATGAAAGTCTTGTTTAGGGCAAAACTTTTATACAACCGCACCGCCTGCTTAGCAGCCCATTAAATGCATTATGCATCCAAGAGCTAGTTTATGCCATAAGTAATAATTACTTCATGTTACATGCGCATAATTACTGCGAAATGTTTTCTATGTAATTTGTACCCATGTATTTATTCAGTGTGGTAACAACATTATCCTTATGTCCTGTGTAGCACACATGTGACTGGACGATATTTAGATATTAGACCAGTCATTTATTTGTGATATAAATTAGTTTTGTTTACACTTTCCGCATGTTAATATCAGGCATGAAATATTAAGACCAAAATTAAAATAAATCTATATTTTTATTTATGCAAAATTCAAATTAGCCTAATGTCCAACATTAAAATCCTTGATAATAATTATAAATATATCCATTCATATTAAAATGGTTCGACATTCGAGAGTGATAAACGGATTTTATCAGATAACACACAATTTATATTGACAAGTTTTATTGAAAAATAAAATCGAATGACATTTGATTATGATATGCTAATTCTCACTCGAAATGATAATCAAATTGGTGTTTAAAATCAACAAATGAAATGAATAAAGTTTACTTTAAATCTTACCTGAAAGTTTATAGAACAGAAACAGTCCGACTATCTTCTACGCTATCAAGCCAGACGACAGTCTTAACCAAACAAACAACTGCACAACAATTTCACACTTAAGTTTCAAGTACTCAACTGAAAGCAACTTCAGAGGAAAATCTTATCGTAAACACGTCAATATCCGAGACGGGCGCGGATGGAACTACCATTACTACCAAATAATCGGGCGATGCCGACGACCGGAGGGGCGCGGGCGCGCCGTGCGACGCCACATGGAGCGATGTTAAAAACCCAACAATATACACATGTGCCTTTCTCTATTACCATTTTTATACAAACAGAAGACAGACTTAACATGGAATCGTTATAATTGTGCGGCCCACACTAGATTACCAGACCTGCAACCGAGGACTGTGAACTCAAATAAAAACAAGTATGCATATCAAGATAGCGAAGAATGACGATGCAGTTGATGCTTGGGTCCCATATTAATCGATGTAGATAAAACCTTGCAGCTTTCCAAGTCACGCTTCAAGGGAAGTAATTACCTTTAGCGACATTTTAATGGCAATACTTATACCTACTAAGCGAAAAGTTGTCAAAACTAATTATAATTCGGTTTCCTTGGAAGGATGGGGCCTACTTAACACTGTGTTGCGCTATCAGAAGCTTCTTTATCCATACTTTTAAGTATAGTGACTTATTGGACTCTTGACCTTGTTGAAGTCATTACGAAAAGTGTAATTGTATTGAGGCCATAATGATCTTAAATTGGCAATCTGTTGTGCTTGGACGATTCAATTGCGTGCAACGTGCAGCACAATGAGCAAGGATTGATCGGATACGCAGAACGATCTCTGAAGATGCAACAACAGATTTGCAGCTAGCTTTATTTGCATTTAGTATTTGCAAACATTTACATGATGATCGTGAAACAAATAAAATTTACAATTATGTAAACGAGTTGCATAAAGGCGAGCACCAAATACTTTATTCCGCAAACGCTTACATCCATATTTACAAGATTACTTGTAATGTAGATTATTATCATTTTTTGTTTGTTTTATGTCAAGACTCGAAATTGCGATTTCTTGCAAACTTTTTATAGCTATTCAAGAAAGCTTAGGATCTCCAGTCGGATCATTGTCAAAGATATCGAATGCACTATTAAATTGGAATCAAAGCAGATTTGTTCGTGTGCTAATAAGAAACATTGCCTATAAATATGTAAATACCCAACCGTGAGAATCCACAAGACTTTAAAAACACTACAATAGCACACAATACACACTTATCGTCTGAATGTATAAGAAACGTAAAAAAAAATAGAAAGCTGTGCAGTTTTCGTTAATGTGTGAACCAGGAGATATTATAATTTAAGAATAATTTTAATATTGAACTTTCTCACGAATATGGTAAAAAGAGTGTCATCCAATGTTGGAAACATACTAAATCAAGCTTTTAATTTTGGATTGACTCAACTGGAATAGAGCTGTTAGCTAAAATCAGTGTTAAAACAAGTCCATTAAGTTGTTCAGACAGCAATATCCTGTCCAGTCGAACCTACGCAAATAAAGTTAACTGGTAATTTAATTTTACTTGCCGCGCAGCTATCAGGGCTGTGCATGACACGATTGAATTTTAATTTTGCCCGTGTTTGAAGTTACTGATCTTGTTAATGAGCGGGAAATCAAATAGCCGGAGTGAGAAGGCAGCTGTGTCAATTTGAAATCAATCGCAAATTGCTATCCAATCACCTGGGAACGTGATTGGAAAAATCATAACATTTCTTAAACATTAAGAACCCGCGAAACAGTTGTTGCGGCATAGTATCGTCAAACTACGTTTAAGAACGGAGGAGTTATACGTAACTGATTAACAATATAAGAACGAATGCTCTGTGCACTACTTAACGTAGTTTCATTGGCAGTTTTATTGGCAATCTGGGTCATAGCGTTTACACAAAACGCTATTTATCAAAGCTGATAATTTTCCTTTGAAGTGCTCAAGTGTTTGCTTGAAGTGATCGATGCCCTTGACCGGTGTGCCAGCCATATGGCTGTATGCGCTTTGATTCTCGACTGGTGAGACGAGTGCCGTAGATGGCAGGCTACTCGTGATCATCCAGTTCGACCTTGCACGTGAGGTGTGAAACCGGACTCAAAATAAGGTCAGGTGCCGATGAGAGTTATTGTAGAGTGTACACAAAAACGAGATGTAAACTATACGACATGATAAGACATAAAACCTACATAGACAGTAGGCAGTAGATTAACAAGTAAATACAAACATCTGCAATATTGAAAATGCAAAATAATTCACCGCAGTGTTGTCAAAAGATTCAATTTGAAAACTGATTGGTGATACTTTGGTAGCCCAGTATAAATACCGTAACTTTACAAGCTACAATCTCATGAGATTGGTTTCGGAACAAAATTCATAACGAGTCACGTTCTCCCGGTGGAATTCCAACAAATAGGATCATAGAGCCAAAATAGATCATGAAACAAATAACTGTAGATGCATATGAGCATTCTTGTTGATGACGAAAGCTAGAAATTTATACAGTTATTACAAAATTTAATTAACAGCTTCACCTTATATAACTGTGAACATCTGTGTTAATAGAACGTTTTGTATTTTCAAATGCTAACACTAACTCCAACAGCCAGGAATGGCGCTATACATAATTCATAAAAACATATTTTATAATTAACTTCCATCAAAGGTGACCTTATTAGGTTCAGTCGTAAGTCTTAAGAACGTTTGACCTCACGGTAGAGTTCATTGCAAGTATCTTTGCTGTAACTTAATATTTTAATGTCGTTTGTGAAATGTTTGGATCTTGTTTCAAACTAATAAATCTGTCTACGTCGTGAACATGTCTGTCATCCAACAGAAAAAAAAACTGTTCAATACTTTTGACATTTTGTGTTTTCTACAATGTTTTTGGGGCTTTTAGATGTTAACACTGGAACCAGTGCCTTGTAAACTTCGTATCGGACTCGTTAGCAGTGTTCGTAACAGAACAGATATGCTGTGAGTCACCGCTGGACTCCAGGCAAGCGGAACGAGTGCGTCGATTCGCGAACTTGATACAAACAGTTCACGCGACATTCAGACGTAGCGTTGGTCCAGTTGCCGCCTGCATCCGTGTCATTGTGTGAAGTGACCTGGGCAAAGCATCGTGCAATCAGATCCTTGGAGCATTGCGCGGAACCGAGGTCCACGGGTATCGAGTTCATTCGTTCAAATGATTTATATGCAAGTTTCTTGGTCTTCACACGGGAATGTCATGGTGTACGGCAATAAAAGAAAATTACTTTGTGCACATGAAATTTAGAGGCAATAACGGTTATTTTACAATTGCGTGCTTCAACACATATGATTCTAACTGTTGCTTCGCTAGTACACAAATATCTCAAGGTAAAAGGTTCTATTAAATACGCCTGTCGAAAAAACGTTCTTAATGATGTTACAGTAAAATATTCTAACATTTCCTACAGTTCCAAAAAAGGTTTTAATACATGAACTTCTATGAATAAAGAAAGCGGTTCGGATCCAGGAGTTTTAAACTCGCTAACAATAGCATTTGTAACCCAAATTACTTTATCGGCTGTTGCCTCTTACATTTCTCTCCTTCCAACCACTTTAGGATGAGAATTCCAATTTAGACTGGCGACCTTTATACTAGTTATCTAATGCAGGGTACGTGTGACATTTAGTTTTTCTTCTGTGTGCTTCGAGTAACTAGTTCCAATAGTTTATCGTAGTTGTTGTAAATTGTCTTTAAATGTCACTAGCTCAAATTAACATAGACATTTTCTTCTATTCAGTGTTTTTGTAACAAAAAGATCTTTAATTAAGTCCAACAATAGTTACGTAACCACCCTTCTCCGAGGCGCTTAGTAACCTCGAGGGTTCTCAGCGACGACGTCAGGCATCTTACGTTAAGAAGCCTTTAGTATGCGACTTTGTATTTTATATATTAATGTTTAAGGCGCGAAATAAATATTGTTATGACATTGAAAACAAGATTACCTACAAGAATTAAATATACTATTTAATAGCCAATTATATAGTCAACGTTTACATGAGACCGTTTATCATAGGCGAAAAACATTTTCTCAATAAATAAATACTCATTATTACAATAACCGAAACAAAAGCGTAATAATTGGCGAGGTTAATGGATATGAAATGTAGCGTGGCGAAATTCATTTCAAATGGTTGTTTCTTCATAAATTCTAAATGTACAACGTTCCAAAAGGAGTAAGATTTACAAGAACGGGTGAATCTAATTATATACCCAGTCTCGTCGCGTGCCTAGCGTTCCGATCCTGAAGATGGGACATTTGAACCTAAGTATGTTAAAATATATCCATGAGCCGTCTCGTCTGCATCTCACAGACGAGAAAACTCTCTAGGCATGTAATTAAGTTAATTGCAGATGAAAAAAGCCCGCATTGCCGTTCTACAAGTTTTAGGTAGCCTAACTGCATTTTCAATAACTTTAATCCGGACGGTTTTCATCCATTTTGTTCAAGGCTATGTAGAGAATGAAAGAAAGCTTCTAAAACATTTATTCTAACATCGTGCAATTTGTTGTAGTCAGCTGAGAAAGATTGTTTGTAGCTACTCACAGGTACAGCTTAACAATTTGTTACCATTTTGCGCATCATTGCAATTTTATTACATTGTTACTTTACTATTACCTATTATAGTTCGATTTTGATGGCAATCTGACGGGATTTCCGCTTTAGCATGGAATGAAATGTGTATTCTTTGAGTATCTACTGTTTCTTTATAATTCGTGTCCAAAACAAGTTGCCTTTCCAACTCAATCTTGGCACTGTCTTTATATTTTAGTAAGACAAGTAAGTCCGGGAACTAATAAAACATGAACATTATGGAACGTCGGATACGACAGGGATTAGTGCTCCACAGATATTTCATTTCGACATGTTTGGACTGGACTTTAAAAAGGCGATGTTCCAACATGTTAGATGTGGCGGCACTTCCGCATGCCGCTCTATATTGAAAAGCGTCGTGTTATAAGATGATTTACAACTGACTTTAATATTTCAACTAGTCATTTCATCCATTTACTATAACGTTGAATGAGTATTAATATATACGAGGCAAGGCAACCGTGAAAATATGAAACTTATTTCATTGAGGAGGGACAGTTATTAATTA